GGAACCAGACTTCCCGTGATGTAGTGTGATTTGGCGAAGATGTGAGTGTGTATGGAAACAGACTTCTGAAGGATATTAGTGTTCGATGTGAAGTAGGATGGAGTGAGTGATATTGGCGTTCTGAAGATGTGAGTGTGTATGGAACAGACTTCTGAAGGATATTAGAAGTGGTGGATAGTGAGTGAGTGAAGTTAAGTAGTGAATACGAGTGTGCATGATATTGGCGTTCTGAAGATGTGAGTGTGTATGGAACAGACTTCTGAAGGATATGAGAGTGAGTGAGTGAGTGAGTATATTAGGGAATACGAGTGTGCATGATATTGGCGTTCTGAAGATGTGAGTGTGTATGGAACAGACTTTCTGAAGGATATGTGAGTGATTGAGTGAGTACGTATTAGGGATATATGAGTGTGTATGGTATTGGCGTTCTGAAGATGTGAGTGTGTATGGAACAGACTTCTGAAGGATATGAGAGTGAGTGAGTGAGTGATGTACGTATTAGTATGAGTGTGTATGATATTGGCGTTTTGAAGATGTGAGTGTGTATGTAACAGACTTTCTGAAGGATATGAGAGTGAGTGAGTGAGTGATGTACGTATTAGTACGAGTGTGTATGATATTGGCGTTCTGAAGATGTGAGTGTGTATGGAACAGACTTCTGAAGGATATGAGAGTGAGTGATGTACGTATTAGTATGATTGTGTATGCTATTGGCGTTTTGAAGATGTGAGTGTGTATGGAACAGACTTCTGAAGGGTATGAGAGTGAGTGAGTGAGTGAGTACGTATTAGGGAATACGAGTGTGCATGATATTGGCGTTCTGAAGATGTGAGTGTGTATGGAACAGACTTCTGAAGGATGAGAGTGAGTGAGTGAGTGAGTACGTATTAGGGAATATGAGTGTGCATGATATTGGCTTTCTGAAGATGTGAGTGTGTATGGAACAGACTTCTGAAGGATATGAGAGTGAGTGAGTAAGTGAGTGATGTACGTATTAGGGAATATGAGTGTGCATGATATTGGCGTTCTGAAGATGTGAGTGTGTATGGAACAGACTTCTGAAGGATATGAGAGTGAGTGAGTAATGTACGTATTAGGGAATATGAGTGTGCATGATATTGGCGTTCTGAAGATGTGAGTGTGTATGTAACAGACTTTCTGAAGGATATGTGAGGGATGTACGTATTAGGGAATATGAGTGTGTATGTTGTGTGTATGAGAGAAGCACGTATTAGGGAATGTGCCCGTGAAGAATATATGTGTTATGATATGTGTGTTCTGGAGGATATGTGTGTACCAGTTACATGACATTGTATCCAGCAGGCGTTGAGAGGGCGATTTAAGGTCGGAAGAGGATGCAGGTGTACAGTGGGGTTAATTAGGTCACCTGTCGGTCAGGTAGATGGTCATCAGTGCGGTCATACCCGTCACGGTCCGCTTGGCAGAAACATGCACATATGACCCCGCGGATACAGACGTGGCTTCCCCGGGGATACAGACAGCCGTACCTATCTCTATAACACCACACCTATCTTGTCTGGCAGAACATCCTATACCAACACATCCCCGACGGTTTCTGTTCCAACACATTAATGTGTAGCAATATTAGTTTGTTTATCAATAACTAATGAATCGTGTGCGTATATACCTATACACAAAGGAGCAGATACTGATTTGGCAACAGACAACCTTCTATGTTAAGTGTGGCCCTATTTCGCACATATGTGTTAAAACCTTGTTTTTTTAACGCCGCACTCAGCGATATGCCAGCTGTATGACGGCGGTCTGTAAATAATCAAGTCTGGACCAGACAATCCAGTGATCAACAGCATGAGCATCGATCTATGCAATTGGGATACGATTACATGAGTCAACGAAGTCAGCGAGTCTGACCACCCGATCCCGTTAGTCGCCTCTTACGACAAGCATGGATCGCTGAAGACGTTAGAGTCTCTAGTAATTAACAAAGCATAATTAAGTATGGAATATGCATTATTATAATCAAAGTAAAACAATATCACGCATTCAGAGACTCATTATTGAATTTACATGAATTTAATACATTAGCGTAACAATGCGTATCTATTCATACATCGTCATGCACAAATACAGACCTGTATGGTCATTTACATGTGACAGTTCGTACTTTTATGTTCATCGTCATGTAGCAGTACGTATCTGTACGTTCATCGTCATGTAGCAGTACGTATCTGTACGTTCATCGTCATGTAGCAGTACGTATATGTACGTTCATCGTCATGTAGCAGTACGTATCTGTACGTTCATCGTCATGTAGCAGTACGTATATGTACGTTCATCGTCATGTAGCAGTACGTATATGTACGTTCATCGTCATGTAGCAGTACGTATCTGTACGTTCATCGTCATGTAGCAGTACGTATATGTACGTTCATCGTCAGGAAGCAGTACGTATATGTACGTTCATCATCATGTAGCAGTACGTATATGTACGTTCATCGTCATGTACCAGTACGTATCTGTACGTTCATCGTCATGTACCAGTACGTATCTGTACGTTCATCGTCAGGAAGCAGTACGTATCTGTATGTTCATCGTCATGTAGCAGTACGCATATGTACGTTCATCGTCATGTAGCAGTACGTATATGTACGTTCATCGTCATGTACCAGTACGTATCTGTATGTTCATCGTCATGTAGCAATACGTATCTGTACGTTCATCGTCATGTACCAGTACGCATATGTATGTTAATCTTGATGCACCAGAATTTATCATCAGGTATGTAGTTATGTACCACTAGGTTGGGGGGAACACCAAGAAATTGGCTTCACCTACGTTGAGAATCTCGCCCGTAACACGAATGTACGATTGAACCACAAGGTTACCCCCAATGCCTCCATTTGTATGAACATAGATACAATTAGAATTTTAAATTTGCAAAACAAAGTATTCTTTCTCCCAGTCCCTTACGATATTATTTCCAATTCGGCCCAACACTGTTTGTAATGCAAACGTCTAGATTTCGTCAGATCTGAAACTCCCATCTTAAAGGGGCTCCTCAATTTTAATGGCGCTGTTTGTTTCTCTCAGTTATGCATTTTCATAGTCATGCTGTTACACTTCACGGAATAATATCTTTCAACGCGGATGTCATTCAAACGATAAAGTAACGCAGTACAAAGAAGGATACGCAAGAGTGTTTTGTGTTTGTGTTCTATTGGGACACGAATTACATTGATTTCACTTAGTGCAAGGATACCGGAGATACATATATATGAGAGAGAGCGTGGGAACGTGTGGGTCGATTTATCAGCTTACCCCCACAAAATGTTCTGCTTTCATACACAACAAAATGATACAAACGATAGTACACAAGACATACCGAAAGGACAGGTATTTATACCAATAATCACCTGTAGAACAATCTCGGGCATTAGGTCATATTATGTCACCCGTCGTTCCAGACTTGAGACAAAACTTGACAAATATATAGATTTAGGAGGGATAACATTATTTGGTAATCTTATCATACATTTAATGAAAGAGTTCATATAGGTTACCTTAACTCAGAAGAATACATGAACCGCCTCCGTGGTGTAGGGGTTAGAGCGTCCGCCCGGAGAGCGGAAGGTCGCGGGTTCGATCCCCGACCGCGTCATACCAAAAGACGTTAAAATATGGTACCTGTTGGTCCCTGCCTGGCGCTCGGCATTAATGGGTACAACAAGGACTGGTCGGTTCGGAGTCAGTATAATGTGTCTGAGTGGGGTATTCATGCTTCACTGCGGCATGGCATCTCAGTGGGCTAGCACTATAAAACCAGCTTAAGTCTAGGCTAGTACAAGCCGCCGCACATACACACACAAACGCATGCACGTCGTCATATGAGCGAAATATTCTCAAGCACGACGTTAAACCCAATTTCAACTCACCTCACAAGAATACATGACATGTTTTATGGATAAAAGCTTCTTTTTAATTCTGTATAACAACGTATCAGAGCTAATCCTTGCTCCTTCGTCAGGTGAATGACGGAGCAGGCATTAATCTCTGAAATGTCGCGATCAAGAATTAGAAAGAAGCTGTTATCCATAAACCGTGTCATGCATTCATGTTCGTCCTACTTCTGAACGACTTTCAAGATCTTAACTCACAACTAACAAAAGAAATCTCACATGGATACAGTTATTTATTTATTTATTTTATTTAGCGTCGCACGCACAACTAAGGTGTTTCGGCGACAGGGTAGTACACTTATTAAGACTGAGTTTGGTTTTACGCCGCTTTTAGCAATATTCCAGCAACATCACGGCGGGGGACACCAGAAATGGGCTTCACACATTGTGCCCATGTGGGGATTCGAACCCGGGTTTTCGGCGTGACAAGCCAACGCTTTAACCATTAGGCTACCCCACCGCCCCTACACTTATTAAGAAATGAGGGGGGACAAGAAATAGAAATTTTGAAAGAATGGTGTTACTACCCCCCAAAAAAAAATAGAAACGGAGAATTAAAGGAAATTTAAATGGAAGGATGAATGGATACAAATCTGGAACACAAAATTAACGAGGGATCTGTGTTTGTATAAGTACTTTCCGCTGGGCACATATTTGCGTACCTGTCTGTACCTGTATAAACCTTCCCGTGGAACCTTGCGGATAACGATCCTATCTAATCAGTTGTTCAATGTTGTTATAAGCTATTGAAGCTTTAACGTTTATTTATGTTTATATACATCATTTCTCATTACAGCAGTCTTTATATCTCACAGTTAAGGCTTGCTTTCCACAAAAGGACATTTAAGTTAGGCAGTCACACACGACTTATAATGTACACACACAACGTACAACACACACTCACCGTGTGTGTCATCGCTGTAGTAATTGAGTGACGCAACCGTCATTCTCCCCCCGCGCGTCACGCATCACGACTAACTGACAACTGAAGCAGCCAATCAGCGATCTCGGAAGCACATTACGTCAACAAAGCCCTCCTCTATAAACACGGCGTCTGTCAACTCTCATTGAGAAAACACCCTGGACAATCTCAGTGAGCACAGTAACTGGCTCAGAGTGTGCCTATACACGATACACCCGCTGTACCAATAGGTCGGCCCACAGGGAAAACACAATACATAGTCTGTTCCTTCTCCTCTATACCGGGTTCTTGAGAAATTTCTCACTTGAGTGGAAGACACTTGACTGATTGATTCTCCGAGCGTGTTGTGCAGATTTAACAGTGAAAGACTACAGGATTGTGACAGTGGTTCTGAACTTGACAGGAGCTGTAGCAACAGTGATCAACTGATCGGATCAGACAATACTAGAGCTGACTGCTTGCATACTGGGAGATCCCGGCAGAGAAGATATCTTCCGGAGAAAGACGTACCAGGAGATGTGGATACTGATAAATAATTATCTCTGATTGGACAACACGTTGGTGTCACGTTGATAAATACTAGGAAGCTTGTATAAGGAGAGTCAGGTATCCTGATACTTAGTCGGGATTAGATTAACCGATTGGGGAAATACGACACGTTGCCTTTCCAAGACTTGTGGATTAACTTTTGTAGACGTTACTCTGAGCATTGACTTGAACTATGAGGAGTGTCGTCGGCAGCGTAGAAGAGGGCGTCAGTGCCACCATTTTCGACAACAACAACATCAGCAGCAAGCCCATGGCAAGTGTCGTCTGCAACGAGCACGTGCAGAACGTAAAGGATGTGCAGGCAGCTGATAGCGTGAGTCTGCCCACGAGGTATAAGAAAAAGCTGCAGCAGAGAGGGAAAGAAACTGGCGAGGATGAGGAGAAAGATTTGGAATCTCGAGAGAAAGACCTTGGGGTGGCTCTCAAGTGGATCAGACAGGAAATAGTAAGTGCCATCTACTTTAATTTGTCTGAATGTTTCTTATTAATCAACAGGGGCGGTAAGGTAGCCTTGTGGTTAAATCGTCGTCTCATCATGTCGATGACCGGGTTCGATTCCCCTCGAAGTATGAAACCCATTTCTGTTTGTGGCTGGTATATTGATAAAAAACGGCGTTGTACTGTATTCACTCTTTATAACTATCAACCAGAGACTTAACGCCCACTCGAGGGACACAATCGTGTAAAACCTCGTACCCTCTATTCGCTTTTTAAAAAGTCACAATAACTGCCTAGAATGTCATCTATGTATTGATCAAATCTAATGTAGAAGAAAATCTGATAAATAGTTGCACTTATGGTTGGGGTTAAACTCTGAAGCATGGATTACGGGCGATAAACTTTCCACAGGTATTACATTGCCACACACTCCCATTCATGAACAGACCCTAAACCCATAAGCGCGAGGCTTTAACAACCGCCGATCTTATCTCGTGGTTTAAAACCCAAATGAAACCTGTTTCTATATTGGTGTACAATTGAGAGTCCAAACGGTATATGTTGAAACAGTCATTGAAACTTAAATTAGCCTTACTCGTTGACATAGGCTATATATCGCCTTGTTATCGGTGTGACACTCACTCAAGAGCTATGGCTCACACCGTGACATAACGCTGTGGTCGTGCTCACTGCCTACTCTACACGTGTTGGTTTGGGAGGGGCACACAACGTTGCTATCATGATCAAACGTGCAGGGCGTTGTTCAGAACTGCTGCTTGAAAGTGTACAAGACAATCCCATGTACATTGTATTTATAGACATACGTATAATTACCTGTTAAGTGATTACCGCTTGACGTTGGTTTTATGGCTTTACTGTTACACTACGGCGTATGTGATGCTAGGGAACAACCTTTGATATTTGGTGTCGAGGAGGGCAAGGACTAAGATATATTTGTAAAAATATTTTATCACACACACACACACACACACAAAAAAAAAAAAATAAAATAATTGCAACATTCCACAGAAACAAGTTCGTGTTATGATACTGTGACAGAAAGATTATTCTCTCTCTCTCAGAAATCTCAATCACCTCCACCCCTTGACCCTCACCCCTCAGGTTAATAAACTGCCTGTCCCCGGTAGACACCTGTGTCTGACAAAATATTCGTTTGAGTCTTCCTCAGAATTATACTCAAAAGCATGCATATCTATATTCGTCATTATTTTATGAGTGAGTGAGTTAAAATTTTACATCGCACTGACAATATTACAGCCATACAGCGATGGAAACAAGGTACCGTATTTTGTCTAATAAGCTCCGGGACTCTAATAAGCGCCGGGGGCAAAGCAGTTCACTAGCAATTACGGTAATTACACCCAGTGAGCGTAAAAGTGCCGTATCTGGAAGTCCTCATTAAAGGAAATACGGTATTCATATCAAACATGTTTTATGAAATAACACTCACACTATGCAACATAAGAATATCCTCTCCCCTAATTGTAAACAGATCGTAATGCTATTCATACCATATGCATTCCCAAACCTGCCCACCGACATTCCTTCATAACGCATTTCATAACATTCAATGTCCACAGATCAATAGTGCACTATAAAACACTCTATATCTACCTGGGATAATGGCTTCCGGAAATACCTTATCCAAACATACGCCTAAATGACATTTTCAATGACTGTTGACTGAAGATTTCAGCTATGCATGACATTATGCTAAGCAAATCCAATATTTCACAACCACAATACAACGCTTACGACACGCGATCGAGAGATAAATACACACAATTAAATACTAATACACTTAACTGCCGGACAACCAATACCAACATCTAAAGAATGCATGTCATGAGATATTACGCAACATGGTCGTACAACGTGGTACCATCGTGGAGTAACAGCCATGTAACGCTTGGGGATATTAATTCTATTTGGGTTAAATACCCTACTTTACCTGTCAATGTTTAGACAGAGGTAGTTCATTTTAGCAGGTGCGCGGACAGGCTTAATGGGGTCTGTAATAGCCCGCGGTCCGCTTGAAGTGACCGTAGGTAACTGTTGTTGTGATCGATGTAATGTTACCCCAATATTGGTAACATGAAGCGCAGGCCATTGACACTGACTGACAAGAGGTCCCGGCCGTACGGGTCGCCAAGTACATCTTCAACATTATGCTTTTGTTTTGGTTCGTTAAACTTAAGCCTCGAGGCATGGATATGAGTGCATGCGGTTCTAACTGCGTTGATAAGACATGCACAGGTGGCCGGGGTGTATTGTATGGCTCTATATGTTAACCTTGTAATGGATACAGGTACCTCGTAAGGATGGGAAAGCCGCAATAACTCGGTGCGCCTTGTGGCAGCAAGAGTTATATGTTCCCCGGGGAGCTGAAATTGATAATAAGATGTGCCGTTGACATCCACTGATCGAGGGAAAAAATACCAGCGCTTTGAGCATGCACTAGTGCATGTATATATGCGCTATATAAATATCAAATAATAAAATAAATAATAAATAAAATAAGGTACATTTTGATATACTCGAGGGTAAGTAGTTCAAATATCTTGATTTGGGCATATTTCGTGATTTCGAGTATCGATACACTTGATATATTACGGGATTATTCAAAGGGAACTATTGTTTACCAGCGCTAACTTCGTGTCATACCACACAAAGCCTATCACGGGCAAACCAGAGGTTGATAGTATGAAGAACGCCCATGTCGTCTGTGATACGCAATCAATCGAGTCATAGACAAATCGATTCATTTAGTCGACCCTTTCGACAAGTATAGGTTACTAGGGACCAGTCCAGATATGCCCGGGAAACCAGACGGGACCCAGTTTAAAGAATCAAGGGAACGGTGTATGAATCATGGTCATGGTAGGAAGGTCAGAAGCTCAATCCCTGGCCTCGTCTTACCAATATACGTTAACAATGATGCGTGTATCCGTGCCTAAGGCTCAGTGTTTAGGGATAAAACAAGGATACATACAAGGACAGACCAGCTCAAAGGCAATAATATGTGTCTGAGCGTCTGGAATAGCACATGCACTCTCAAACGCACATGCACTCGCAAACGCACCCGTGTTCATCTGTAAATTTAAGTGAAATACTCTGAAACGAGATGTTAGACCCATTTGACCCACCTACAGTATGTAGACGGTCGTAATAGTATTCGCCCAGAAACAAGGGTTTCCATACAAACTGTGTAGATAAGAAACGGTGCACGATAAGATGGGAAACTGAATGGTAAAGGCAAACAACATATTCATATATTAGCATTACACTACTGTTTAATTGTTCGATAGGGGACTGCAATAGTAAATAGAATTTCAGTTTGAACAACGGCATCACTTCAAGTGCACATTTATGATACATTTCCTCAAATTGTTCAGTCATTTATCGATCGTCTGTGAACTAAGCTAAGTCAAAATAATATTAGAAGGTTGGAAGACTATGCTACGATTGCAATCAGTTTATGTTTAAAGAAACACATCGTTCTAAACAGAATACGTAAAATGGTTTTTTTTTTCTTATCTATAAAAATATGCATAGCCTTTGTGACCTTTGACACTGGAAACCAAAATTCAGAAAACATCCTTGTGGAAAATGTAGGGTTCTGTGGATGTTCTCACCAGATACTTGAGTAAGTTAAGTGTTAGTGCTACGCCGCTTTTAGCAATATTCCAGCAATATCACGACGGGGTACACCCAAAATGGGCTACACACATTGTACCCATGTGTGCAATCGAACCGGGGTTTTGGCATGACTAGCGAACGCATTAACCACTAGGCTACCCCAACGTCCCTTACCAGATAAGAGATGCTGACCAAACACTATCACATGTATACTACAACCCCGTAATAAGATTTGTTCGGTGGTGCATATAAGACCCCGACACCACATGACGAGAACCGTCTGTTCGTAAAAGCCCCCGTACGTGGAAGCATGACTTATGAAGACCTACGGCATGTTGTACTGCACTACAGACTTATTGTGTGCGTGGCATCGTACTGTTAGAGAAAGGTTCACTGTAGGCATGTACATGGGATGTATAGATATCGTTTGTATCATTGTGTAAGCTGCAATTGTAGAACAAATATTGCATTCACTTGCAAGAACATGTAGAATTGGATCTTTCAGAAAGCGCGCATATCTGAGTAATTGTTTTGTGTGGTAAACGTGACTATGGTCGTAAAGAGCTGAATATCGATATCTAAATTTGTCTCTCTAATGCTAGAGACAATGTTTTCCACGAGTTATAGGTAGAACAGGGGCTTAACTTAAGCCTAACTTAATTTTACTTTGCTCGGAGTAATATTGTGAAATTGACACATCTCATAAGGCGGCTATATTTGGGAACACAACTTGACGAACGGAAGTCTAGTGTTCCTGAAAAATGATTTTGGAGGTCCTTCCAACTGTTTTGACAAAGCCTCCAAAATTTAACAACAGCACGAAATTCCAAGATCAACAGGAAGAATTTGTTCTGGTTGTATTTGACGAGGGAGGAGACGACGACTGGGACGGGGCTGGGACGGGGGAACATTTGACGAGGTATTGCGACACGTCTTCACGAGAAAATGGCGTAATTCAATTAACCTCGTCCTAAAAACATTGAGACTTATTGCCTCTGCCAACAATTCAGGGGATTGCAAAACGAACGTCCCCACGCCCTAACCTTGCCCCCCTCTACCCCTACCCCTCACGGACCCCACCCCTGTATGCATAGGATGTAGTCGTCGGCCGAAGCAACCTCAGCAATGTTTTTTCTCAAGGGTTTAAATGCAGGGGGATGGCTAAGGAATAGAGCTCCTCAAACATATTTGCTGACTTAGGCGGGAATGGCGGATTCTCGAAATCCCCTCCTTGTGGCCTGAAGATCACGGCCAGTTGGACGTCACGTGGTGAAGCACGGACGGATTAACAGATTATCCTTGTGTTTGTTTGGCCAACAAGAAACCCAGAGGCTTAATTGACCGAGGGAAGTGAGCGGGAGGCGAGAATGGAGGCTCGGGACAGATATAGAACCAGACAAATACTTAGGGATAAATACACAGGACTGTCTTACATGTATTTGGGGAGCATCTGTGTCTTTACATCTACATCCAAGTGTCTGTATACAGTGAAGGCGGGTAATTAATGCAACCACCTCGAACCACAGAATAGTAAAACTTAGCAAGAGATAGTGATATATGGCGAAACATTCTGACAAATAGTGATACATAGCAAGACATTGTTGAAATAGTGATACATAGCAATTCATAGCTAGAGCCAATAAACATTGCATGGCCCCGCTATCTCGCTATAAGCTGAATACAGCACGATTTAGCAAGAAATAGTAAGAGACAGGGTTTGGTTTGGTTGTTGTTTAACACCATACTAAGCAATATTCCAGATATGGCGGCGGTCTGTAAATAACCGAGTCTGGACCAGAGAATCCAGTGGTCAACAGCATGAGCATCGATCTGCGCTATTGGGATACGATGACATGTGTTAACCAAATCAGCGAGCCTGTCCACCCGATCCCGTTATTCGCCTCTTACGACAAGCATGGGTTGCTGAAGACCAATTATGACCCGAGTCTTCACGGGTCTGTAAGACACAGGGATATATTTCACAAAGGTTTGCAAAAGTTTGCAGTAAGACACAGAGATATATTGCAAACCTTTGCAAACCTTTGTGAGATACATAGCAAGGCATTGGTAGCACAACATTAACTTGTGTCTGAAGACCATAGGACCTAACTGTCGGGTGATCCGTGTGTGTAGCAGGAGGCGACCAAATATAGATCGGATTGACCCCGTAACGTAGCTTAATTGGGGTAACACTAACACCTGGGTCGTTGCTCATGTTTTCAGCCAGTGGTTTGCTGGTCCACGCGTGATCATGCATACTTCCGTGATAGAACAATGTTATTAATAACCGCGGTATCAAACGACATTCATTCAGACATATTTTTGATCGGCATTCCAGAAGCTTGTACCTCCATAAAATTATTTGCTTCATCATTGATTCATTGATTGACATCGGAATTTTGTCGTTTTCTCTCACATTGTTTTCTGTACCCTCTTCCCCTTAGCGTCACTCTCCCCCTCCCCCAACTCCACCATAGTTGTAACGCTGCTGCTAGGTTAGTAATGCTACGACGTATAGATAATCCAAGTCTTGTAACGTGTGATATTTGTGGTTACGCACTCTCTGAAAGAACTCATTCCTGTACTTTTTGGGGTTGAGTCTCATCCGGGATACCATTCCATACCTAATCGCCAGATCTAAGACTTCTTAATCCCGAAGGCATTGTCTGACTACCGATTACATATATGGACTTGACATATCAATGATTGCGTGCTATAAACCTGAGGTGAGGCGAAATTGGGTTTAACGTCGCGCTGGAGAGTATTTCGCTCATATGACGACGTGCATGCGTGTGTATGTGTATGTGTATGTGCGGCTGCTTGTACTAGCCCAGACTGAAGCTGGTTTTATAGTGCTAGCCCACTGAGATACCATGCCGCAGTGAAGCATGAATACCCCACTCAGACACATTATACTGACTCCAAGCCGACCAGTCCTTTTCGTACCCATTAATGTCGACCAACAGGGACCAACAAGTACCATATTTTAACGTCTTTTGGTATGACGCGTTCTCCGTTCTCCGGGCGGACTCTCTAACCACTACACCACGGAGGCGGTCGCTATAAACCAGAACTGCATAAAGCAGCGTTGATGACATGCATTGCAAGTATAATATACATAACGGGTTTGCCTGTAGAGCTAGTCACGTATTGTAAATGCAGCGCTAATCCTGTATAAAACTAGGCCGGTCTTCCAAGGGATAACACACACAGCTATGTGCATCCTTGCCTGTTGGATACGAGTACATATTCCCACTGCTCGCCACTTCCTGTTAGGATTTTTAAGAACTGCTTTAACTTGTCAAGGAAGCAGTATTTCTGTTTGTCTGTACACCGCCTGCAACAAGGCAATCACACCGGGTACACTTTTGACAAGTCAATATTTAGCTGTGGCAAGTGTTGATGTTGATCACGTGAGATGGACAAACTTCCTGTGTCACCTGATGCAACCCGCTGCAGCCCGGCCCAGTCGTGGGATCAAGACGTGTATTTTCACAAAGTCTCCTGGATCAGCGCCGCTTACACACACGGCAGTTATGTTTGATAATATTAACATGGAATCCGTCTAACCTTCACCCATGTCTCACCAATGGGTTGACAATGGTCTTATCGCTGCTTCAGTTTGACATTGACTTGCATAAGCGACACAGTCAGTGTTTTAGTCGTTTTGGTGTTTTGCCTAAAAGTATTCAGGTAAAGAAAGCACAGTTTCTTTTCAACGCCCACAACATACCACTGACTGGACTTACATCCAGTCTGAGGTTATGCAAATTGGATCAACCCTACGCAGCCTTATTTCACCACACTATCTTAGCTTGTGTATTCAATAATTTTGCGTCTCGTTTGGCTAAATTGTTTCATTTTCGTGATAGGAATTAACTCTCTTAGTTTTCATTTACACACGCATTTCTCTGTTTATCAAGATAATATTAAACCTATTCATCTACTTAGTTTCGACACCATATTCCTGTACGTAGTAATAATACAAGTGGTGAGCCTGCAACACCATCTCCCTTTCCTGGGGGCGGTGGGGTAGCCTAGTGGTTAATGCGTTCGCTCGTCACGCCGAAGGCCCGGGTTTGATTCCCACATGGGTACAATGTGTGAAGCCCACTTCTGGTGTCCCCCGCCGTGATATTGCTGGAATATTGCTAAAAACGGCGTAAAACAAAACTCAGTCAGTCAGTCAGTCTCCCTTTCCTACAGCATATAGTTCACGCTGTTACATAACCAGAATACTGTTCAAAGTGGCATAAAATTCAGTTTCTAGTTTTGTACAAAATTCAGTTTGATGGTGGATTATTTTAGTTGCATGCGAGAGGGAACACGATTTGTCAGAGTTCTGTGACCTCGCTTGCATGTGTATTCATGGACCAATCATATCTTGTGTGTAGACACTGACGAACAACTTAATCTGTAGTGATATGATATTTTACCAACAAAATAAGGACACGTTTTATTGTCAAGTGTATTGGAGACACCATGAAAGCTATTTTATTGGCATCTAATGGCCAATCTTCATACGACCGAAAAGAGAACCATATGGTAATATATGTGTGACCATGCAGATTATATTCCGTGTCGGTTGGCAGCGTGAACTGAAGGTAGACAACAGTTGTTTGCCTGGTCGAGATTCGACTAACTTCAGATCGCGGTGTTAAGGCTGCCACTTTGTTATACAGTTGGTGTAATTAGCCATTCGTACTTACAGAATACTAGCCATTCAATGTAAACCACCCGTAACACTTTCATTCTTTCTCCACAGCTACAGATGAAGGAGCAAGACAAATCTCTCCTCAAACAGTTCATCGAGCTCCGGGCGAACATCCTCCAGCTGAGATGCATGTACGAGTACCACTCATCCAACTCCGATGTCAGCAGCCTCGAAGGCAGCACCGCATCCCTCAACGACGCACACAAGCGCCGACACAAATTGCCACGGAGCGACAGTGACTTCACCTCACGAACCAAGTCCCTCCTGTCTCTGCAAGGCTCTCCCAGGTGTACTCGCATCAAGTGGAGGAGTGACGAGTACATCTGAACACGACAGATCGGGTACCTTATGTTTCACTTTAGTTGAGCTGTGATGGTTGATGGGTGTAGACGCACCCCAGCATGGACATCACACTGTTTGTGGATGCAGCTATGGGACAGCAGCATGTGCTGGACCAATTGCAGCTTCCCATTGAATGACTCCTGGATACAACCTTATAGATGAGAGAGTCGCCTGATGCTGACGTCAAGGTGTTGCTGATTTTCAGGAATGTTGCTGAAGGTTCCTACAGGGACTTATCCCATTGGACTGTGCATGTTAGCCCAAAGACAACCACCTAGTTCAGATCTCATTGGTCATTTTTTTTCTATGTCTTTTATCAGTTTTAATGAGTACGTATTGCAGTGTTGAGATGGAAACATCAGTTTCTACCAATAAACTGTAACACTGTTTACAGCTTAACAGCTGCCAAAGATCTGAGGATGCATGCCGGTAAGATGTTCCAGGTACGAGACATTCAAAGACTCGCTAAAATCTCTGATGACGATGTCATCACTAACAAAACCCTAAGGGTAACCAACGAATCAAGAAACGTCCGAGTCTGAACTGTGTCTGTATTGCTGTCTGCAGACATTCCAAGATCATTTAAGATGCAGTAGTTCAACATGCCCAACTGGGTTGGTCCAACATGGTGGTGAACGAAACATCTAGATCTCCCCCAGGACTTCATTGTGAAGATGACGTTATGAATTCCGGGCGTGTGTGAGAGAACTTCATATTGACAGTGTTTGTTATGTTGACGATGGTGCTATGTTAGTTTCATGTTAGCAAATACAAAGTTTATTCAATAAATTATTGCCCTTATTTCATATTGTCTCATTGGTTATATTTCCTCCCGAGACGATGAGTTTGTAGACATGTCTGGGACGACGTGAGGACAAGGCGGTTGTTCAAGGCCTACCATTGACTCAATGGTAGAGGAATGTTTCACAAATACTGTCCGCATAGATCAATACTATGTGGGGACTCACATTTAACATTTTTAAGGAATCTCAACTTTTGCCTCGTCCTATTCATGAAGCTTCTAATATTTGGATGATGTTATGACTTGTCCCATACGCGAAGACGCTGGCATTTTGGTGATGATATGCCCTATCCATGACATAAAGACAAGGATATTTCTACCCTGACCCACACGTGAAGTACCTGGCAGTTTGGAAATGCCATGAGTTCTTCCACACACGAAGTAAGACACTGGGTTTCAATAAAGTTATGGCTTGTCCAGAACACGAAAACACTGGTCTTTTGACCACATTATGATTTGGTCCTTACATAAAGACACCACCTATTTTTATTATATCATGCCTTGTTGCACACAAATAGGTACTCACCTGTTAATAATGTTATGGTTAAGACTCGAATATTTACATCCGCCATATAGCTGGAATGTTGCTGAGTGCGGCGTAAAACAACAAATAGACAAACAAATCATACGTGACGGAGCGCTTGCTTTCTCCATCCCTTCAGCCCCCAAAGTGATGGAGCTCCTGCCCAGGAAGGTCGGTGGTTTAAGATCAGACCGCGTCAAGACATTGCAGATGGTACCGTGATTGCCTTGTTATCCTGCATCATGTTCGAAATATGATAAGGACCAGTCGACTGAGACACATGCGTGAACGCACACAAGCACTCAACTACCTTACTGTCAGTGTTACGGTTAAAACGAGTGGGTGTATTACGCTATAATCTGCAACATCGCATCTACCAAAGCGATGGAAAGGACCAGGTTTAGGACCAGGTAAACCCTCATCGCAAAGCGACGCGCATTCACCTTGGTTCCATCTCATAATGACAGGATACTCGGTCTTGTTTTAATTCCGAGTAATATGTAACAATAAGGCTTGTAAAAATATACTAGTCACTGAAAGCCTCCAAGCCTCCTGTTTAAAGCAATCCAGGAGACAGGAGTGCAGCTCAAGCCGCTATGGTGCACAGAGTGCTCTCCCTTTTCTAGATCACTGAAGCACCTCTGAAACCGATCCATGCGAGTATGCTACGTTGTTGGCGATTAAATACGGAAGTTTTATTTTCTGAATAAAACTGTCAAAGTATTGCTAGAAACAGTTTCAGTTAGGTACATAAACTGATATAATGAAAACAGGCTGTACCTGGGAAATATTTTACCAGTGCGTCATCGCTATAGGCACTCCTCTCGAAAATGCTCAAACCGACAAGTGAAAAAGATCTATAATCACTCGAATTTATTGATTCCTGCAGCTGAATCAATAGATTCTTTCATTCCACTTCCGGAAACGAGTGATTTTTCCATGGATTGTTGATTCCATTTCCGGAATGAGAAGATTCAAGTGTTTTCTCCGTTGATTGTTGAAGATATGAAATAAAATGATTGGAAAGCTATGGACACTATTCATATTCAAGTAGATAGCAGATTGTAATGAGAAAGGTGGATTGTAGTAAATATATATTTATTCTTTTAAACGTGTGATATATACAGGAGGATACCAAATACGTATTCATAATATAACATACAAAACAATTACTAGCTGAAGACAGCCAGTGTTATGAACCCATAACAGTTAAATACATACAACACGTTGATCGTAAACAATTGGTATGAGTGCCTGAGTGGTTTTACGCCGATTGTAGCAATATTCTAGCCAATATCACGGCGGGGGTGACCAGAAATGGGCTTCACACTTTGTGCCCATGTGGGGAATCGAACCCGGGTCTTCGGCGTGACGAGCGAACGCCTTAACCACTAGGCTACCCCACCGTCCCACAATTGGTATGATACTAACGTCATCAAATATTCGTATCAAAGAATTTATAGAAATTGCAATACCCAGCCATCATTTTTTAATGTTATTGTGCCTTGTTTTGTGTTGTCACGACGTGTATGTTCTTCTGTCCATTGACAATCATGTAAAGATCAGTTTCCTAATGGGCACGTCATATATGTTTGGAGAAAGTGTCATTTCCTAAGCTCAGGAGATAAACACATATGTTATGCATGTGATTCAATATAACCTCTAAACAAAACGTGGTGAAACAAACCTGCTCCATACAACACCGCTGAATTGGTGGAATGCAGAAACAATCTTTTGACGAACGCACCTTGTACAGACACTAATGCTGTATTGTGACCACTGTACACTAATGGCTTCACCTTCAGTTCAGAAAAACACTACTATTACATTCCTGGTTTTACCCTGTGGTTTACTGTGCACGTATGGCAGGTAATCACAATGATGTGATTGGTTTGATCAATTCCTCAACATACCCTTTTCACATACAGACAGATGAGACGAAACCGGAATCAGGTTTATAGGACAATGGTTATTAAATATCAAAGGTAACAAAGGTAATTGTTTACCTGCCGTCAATTATACAAAAATCACGGCTTATATTAATATGATAAACACCGTTGTTTCGAGGTTGAAGTGCCCCGCGCAAATACAAATATCTAAAGTTCGACACAACCACAAAATGATGACTAAATACGGAATATGGAGGGAGCAAACCTTTTCTTCGAGACAACTGTATGTTGGACACATGAAACTTCGACATTTCACTGTAAATAATATTCTATACTCAATATAAAATACCTGTGGAGTAATGGGTTGTCAGTCACACCACAATTCGATATATGCTCAAGTAAACGAATACGTATGAACGGATTATGTACATAGTTCCAAGAAGTACCCCCCTACAGTATATAATCTTGACCTCATCTCCTGCCCCCTCGTCCCCGCCTTCCTCCCCCTCGCCCCCGTCCAGCGAACCGCTTCCACCGGGCCACCACCATGGACTGCTGCAGCATGACCCTCCCAAGTGACGTGGACGACCACTCCAGCGACTGGCCGTCAGGGAAGAGCAATGACTGGAGACTATCGGCAGAGGCGAGGCCTTCATCCCTGGCATCTTCCTCCGAGTGAATGTCCATCCCCCGGGCAATCTGACGCAGGAGGTCATGGTTCCGCTCCATCGTGCCCGACAACTCTTTCAACCTGGGAAGAGAGTGAACAGAATAATAACTTATTTCATTCTATAAATGAATATAGATGTGTACATTACTTGCTTGCAAAAAAATAGCATTTCAATTTGACTTGTGTAAACGTTAACTACTTTATAATGGTCCTTTTAATAGATAGTCTACGCCAGAAGAAAGAAGAAAAACTACCAGTGTATTGCCATAAGTACACAGCTAATGCAGCTTCTGCTTGGAAAGCATGTGAAACACGCACTAGTGTTACAGGAAGTGGCTTTAAGAATAGTTCGCAGTTTTGTGACTATTAATCGGCATGCTCGTGAGATCAATCATCGCACAAACTAACGAAGCCACCATGCCCTAATATGGGTGTACCTGTTCTTCTGTTTGTTCAGCTCCGTGTAGACGTATTGGTTGTGGGCTGCGGTTCGACCCTCGTCCATGCCGTTAAACTCGTTGTCGTAGGACATAACCTTGGACCACATCTGTAGTGAAACAAGCATGGCCATGAGACCTTCCACAGATAACCCAAAACACTGAACATAACAAACCACATACTTAACAAACCGTAGCTTAACCCTTACCACTGCCTAACCCTGGCCTAACCAACCCTACCCACAGCCTCCGCATGTTAAGGGACAACGAACAGGATCATCAGGGTATGGAACAGAACTCAAATGTGACATAACTCTTTGAGAATTAACCGTGCGTGTTATGTACAGTACGTTCTAAACGAGAAAGACAAATGTATTCCAAACCCATTAGAAAGCTCGTGTCTCTTAACCCACAGACAAGGCGACAGAGGATATGATCTGTCACACAAATAATGTTCTTTCTGATGTCATTATCAGTAAATTATCAAAAATATCTGTCAACTGAAATGCGACATTATGGTGCACATTGGGTAGGTGTAAGGTGAAGCATCCATTAGTATGCTGATTCCAGGTTCCCTGGACATGATTAGGGTACTGACGTTCTGGAGGAAGGTCCTCCGTCTGTTGGGGTACACTCTGTAGGTTTCCTTGTCCAGCTTCACCAGCAGCTCCCTCGGCATCTTCCTCTCTATGTCCGAGTGGAGGTTCACCTTGGAGACAGGAGATGGCGTCACAAATGTTACAGGAATATTAATACAGTTCAACACAATATTACTGCTGTAAGTACTTGATGTCTTATGAAATTGTATCTTACATCACAAAGAGGTACAAAAGAAGCAAACGTAATTTGTCATCAATCTAGAAAAACAAACAAACGACGACAGCCATTTGTTTCATAGAAGCGACTACACCCTGTGCGTGGGTGAAATCTCTGTTGTGTTACCTGGAGTGTCAGCCTCTGTAACCGAGCATTGGTCAGCACACTCTGGATGTCCCCTACAGCAAGACCGATCTGAAAAATCCCCACACAACATAGTGGTCATACTGGCAACACAGACAACATAGTGGTCATACTGGCAACACAGACAAGATAGTGGTCATACTGGCAACACAGACAAGATAGTGGTCATACTGGCAACACAGACAAGATAGTGGTCATACTGGCAACACAGACAAGATAGTGGTCATACTGGCAACACAGACAAGATAGTGGTCATACTGGCAACACAGATAGTGCGAAGACAGTGGTCATAGTGGTCATACTGGCAACACAGACAAGATAGTGGTCATACTGACAACACACCTGACAAGATAGTGGTCATACTGGCAACACAGACAAGATAGTGGTCATACTGGCGATAGACACAGACAAGATAGTGGTCATACTGGCAACACAGACAAGATAGTGGTCATACTGGCAACACAGACAAGATAGTGGTCATACTGACAACACAGACAAGATAGTGGTCATACTGACAACACAGACAAGATAGTGGTCATACTGGCGACACAGACAAGATAGTGGTCATACTGGCAACACAGACAAGATAGTGGTCATACTGGCAACACAGACAAGATAGTGGTCATACTGGCAACACAGACAAGATAGTGGTCATACTGGCAACACAGACAAGATAGTGGTCATACTGGCAACACAGACAAGATAGTGGTCATACTGGCAACACAGACAAGATAGTGGTCATACTGACAACACAGACAAGATAGTGGTCATACTGACAACACAGACAAGATAGTGGTCATACTGGCAACACAGACAAGATAGTGGTCATACTGACAACACAGACAAGATAGTGGTCATACTGACAACACAGACAAGATAGTGGTCATACTGACAACACAGACAAGATAGTGGTCATACTGGCACATAGTGAAGATAGTACTGGCAACACACAGACAAGATAGTGGTCATACTGGCAACACAGACAACAAGATAGTGGTCATACAGACAACACAGACAAGATAGTGGTCATACTGGCAACACAGACACGATAGTGGTCATACTGACAACGCAAACATGGACATGACCGTGATCATACAGGCAACACAGACAAGATAGTGGTCATCCTGGCAACAGACCACAACAACGCCAAAACCAGATTGATTTAGCACTGTGTGTAAGATTAGTAAGGGGAAATAACCGCGGAAAGTTTATTACGACAGGTGGCGGAAAGTCACGTAGCGTTTTAGTTCTCAACTTTGCAATTATGTTTACTTGTTCTCATTACAATAAAAACTTCGGTGTTATGCCTGCTTTATGTGGTTTTTCCCTGTGACATAGCTAAACAAAACGTAGTTTAGTGGAAATATAATGGCAGTATCAGTACGGGGGCGTTTTTGTTCTCAGCTTAGAGGTTTCATGAATGAAATTGTACCTCTTGTTTGCCTTCCCCGGGGCTATTGATGTGTACATTGTATATGATCTTGGATTTGGTGTGGATGTAGTTATTTCTGGACTTGGCAAATGAAGTTCTAATTGTTCCAGTTACAATAAGTCTGTGTTACCACTACTTAATGCTTTCATTTCCCCTTGATTTAGGTTTGCCAAAATCTATATTTAACCTTAACAATGAGTGCAACTGTGACTTCAAACACTGTTTGATGTCACGTGTTATTGTATTTGTATATGAAACCGGAATGAGTTGTTATAACAGGGGACAGGTTTCCCAGTTCTTGTACATATATATAATTAACCTTGAGTTGATCACATAAGTAGTAATAAATTACTGACTACGATGAGATATTATGGTACATAACAATTTTAAATCCTGTTTAAACCCTGGCATATAAATAATTATTGATCAATATAATTATTTACAAAACTGAAAAAAATATATAAGACCTCTATGTGGAAATAAAAAGTACAAAAGTGATACGTCAGGCGACTATTAATTTACCTTATGTCGCAAATTCTGAGGGTTGTGGGTGCTACTGAAAGCAAGACATGCGCTCGTTTTTTTCTGTCATCACTGATTTTTAGTGATTTATTCATATAATTTTCAACGTTATTTTCCGATAAACGTCCAATAAAACTTGTTTCCAATCATTCTCTGCTGTGACTTTACATATATTTAATTTATGTTATTATTTGTACTTCTATATCTGTGAACGTTTTGATCTACATATACGTGTATGTAGTATATACAGGTACACACATACGCGCATACAAATACACAATGTCATACACCTGTAAGCAAATGCAAGTGATTATTGTACAGGACAAAGACATCCTCATTAACATAAACTTCTTCAATTATTGACAACTCTGTAAGCAGATAAACCTATATGAACTTTGAGCACAACAACCTCGGTATTAGTTCTGAGAGAGAGTGAATGCCGCTTTTACAGACACAAGATTCTTACCAGGAGGTTCATGAGAATGATTGGCATGAAGAGAACGAAGATTGTCATGAAGAATAAGGTGCCATGGGCATAGTGAAGAGTGACAACCGAGTTGTCGTTGTACGGCTCGTTGTAGGTGTCCATGTATTCCATCTCCAACATCATCGTCACCGACCGCAACATCGCCAGCCCTGGGGTCGAATACGCATGCGACTTCTGTGAATGGACAAAACCCCGTGAATTGTCATCATCAAAATTTCATGATCATTCTAATTAAACATTCATTGCATTGTATCTTCAAATTGTTTAAAACGGCGAGGCTACCATATTTGTTCTATATCGAATTTTGATGTTGCTGAATTACAGTACTCTGTTCCTATCAGTGTCAAGTTCTTCATCAGGGCATCTACATGATTCGACCCAATATATACATAAAATGTATTTTGATTGTGTGTATTTGAAATGTGTTTTGATGTGCATAATAATGAATTTACCATTGGAACAATTCACAGACTCTTCTTAGAATCAGATATCCTTACTATGTAAATCCTATCATTTCATGTCACTTCCGTTCTTTAACTATGGATTTTTAACTATTGACTACGGATACTGAACTCGGTTATAGTCAATTTAACTATAGACTATGGATATTTAACTACTGAATATGGATATTGATCACGGTTAAGTTGACGTGCACATACTTCGTGAGACATGAGGATGTAGAATGCGAGGCCGAAGGCGATGACGAGGATGGAGAAAACGACGATGACCTGCAGGAGAGTCTTGAGGATCTCCACAAACATCACCACGTAGATGCCGAAGAAGTCGAACCTAGTGGACAATACGTTATACATGTCAGTCAGTATCACGGGAGCTCATGCCAGCCGTCTTTGCAAAGGAGTTTACTATTTCTAATTATGATAAATGTCCATTGTAGGTACAAAGGGGTCGAAAATGTTATTTGTTACTTCTTATGATGAGGATAAGTACATGATGCACTGGGGCACTCTGCTAGCACTTTTCTAACAGAAAAAAACACCACAATTGATGTGTCAACAGGTACAAATGTAACTTCAAGACAAGGAATATGAAGTTCCTTCTGATCATGTCAAGAAAGCTACACTTACCGCTGACGAACACCCAACTATTTTCACCATCATAAAGGGACTGTGCAAAAATTACAAAGGCAAGAAAGGTAGGGAACGCGGGAATTAAAACCACAAGACAACTGAACCACAGCAGAAGAGGTTTACTCATTTATGGAGAACACAAAGGCACTTCGTCAAGGAAAGTAGCCTGGATGTACCTCTGTAGGAAGACCAGACAGTTGAACCAAGCCAGGAAGACTGCGAATGCCCCGACCTCCCACTGCCAGTGTGTGGAGTAGTGAGCCAGGAAGGGGGACACGAAGACGAGGGTGAGGACGTACAACAGCCACTCCAGCACGTTCTGACAGTCTGTGAAGTAGCGCCACCTCTGTAAGGAGAACATCGACCAGATTAGAAACTGACCTGAGATAATACTGTACAAAGCTACCAAGGGATATAGCGGATCATGAATACGTTCTAAAACATCACCTAATACGGTTCAAAAGTGTACACCTGATGCATGTCAAACATTTGATTCAAATTTACAGGGTGGGCAGCCTTACCCCCTTTAAGTGTTTACTACGCACAAATCCAATGCCTCTAGCCATTAGTCAGGTGTAACCATCCAGTGTCTGTCGCAAACACATCTTTGTAAATACGCTGGTTCCAAGGAATGGATAGTTTGTGTTTTGTAATCATCCAAGAACCTAGTGTAAGCGGTAAATACCTCAGTAATCATCTGGAAGATCTCCTTGAGGATGTTGAGAGCGGCAAAGACCTCGATGAGCCACAGCAACACGGTGAATACAGGCGAGAACTGGTGTACAGAAAGAAGAACAAGGTATCATTGTGTCATCAATTTTCTGTTATTCTCTAACCCTATTCAGAAATATTCTTCATTTTTGAAATGAGAAATGAACCATCAGGTTGCGAGAAAAAACTACCTTCAACATGAACCGCGGAGTTTCAAATGTCCATTTGCATTTTGGGGCATACGACATTGTAATTGTATGTTTATGAATACTGTTTACGGATTCTTCCTTAGTGAAAGAGAAATAAACCAACTACCTGTAATTTACCCTTCAACATGAAGATGGCCAAATGCATACTGGGGTATCTGCGTATTGTAATTGTATGTTAATGGTATTCCCGAAATCGGCAACTTTGCCCACACCTTGGCTTTGGTTTTACCAAATCTTAAACTTTAGACAAAAGAGAAATATAAGGAAATATTGTTGATCTTATGAATATCCTCAAGGTTGAACGTACATAGTGTCCGCCAAGATGGTTCCCGTGCAGAACCTTGATGGTGGCGTTGTCGACTTTACCCTCGTCGAAGTGGTCCAAAGAGTCGTGGCTCACGACGAATGTGGTGAGAAAAGCGAGGAAGGTGAGGTAGATCAGGAGGTAGACGGAGCAGTACCATCGACCATAGTAGTTCCTGAAACACACAATGCAGAAAACTGCCAACAGCAAGTTATATCTCGAACGGTACCGGAAATCCACCCAGGGCATACTGGTCATGACCAAGATTCAGGACGTAGAGATTTGTATGAGAACAATGGGAAATATTAAAAATCAATGAATGCAGCTGATGGTTTGACTGCCGACTAATAATATATTTACGTTGATATGCAATATATTATCTAAGATTGTGTCATACAGGTGGTCCTGAACCATCAACACCAAACCCGTAGGAAGTGTTACCTTGATGGCGTGTTTATACTACTGGTAAGAACAGAGTCAATGCTAATAACGACTACCTGACTTAGATATCTATTTACTATCTGAATATATCGATACAAATACTCTTCAGTATCGTGAGCATAATTATCTTTGACATACCACTTCATCCTGAGGAAGTTGACGCACACAGGATGGGAGAGACACTCGACTCTGCCGGTCTTCACCATCATCTGTACAAAACAGCTACAGAACTTACTGTGTTATGACACAACGGATAGGCAATGTGTAATAAGATTATAATATGAACTACGGTATATGCATGAATTTTTCATACTAAACAAAGGCCATACCGGCACTAATGTTTGTTATGCGAATGTGTTGAAGGTTGGGTGTAGGAGGCCCGAAGTGATGCAGGTCTGAGACGTTTACTATTTCGGTGAAAACCCTAGAAACATAAACGGGAACAAACCCACAAACATAGATTTTCCTGGTGTGCCCAAGGGACGTAATTCACTGCGCCTCACGCGACTGGGCCACCCGTACCCTCAGGAAACATCATTTGACTGGTATTTAAGAATGTAACAGGTCCAGAACACCACCGGCTAACTGGATAGATGCTCCGCATACAGTAAAGAGCCAGACAATCATTCAAGATTTAGAGTGAGTGAGTGAGTGAGTTTAGTTTTACGCCACACTCAGCAATATTCCAGCTATATGGCGGCGGTCTGTAAATAATCGAGTCTGGACCAGAAAATCCAGTGATCAACAGTATGAGCATCGATCCGTGCAATTTGGAACCGATGACATGTGTCAACCAAGCCAGCGAGCCTGACCACCCGATCCCGTTAGTCGACTCTTACGACAAGCATGGGTTGCTGAAGGTACATTCTAACCCGGACCTTCACGGGTCTCAAGATTTAGAGAGATACTGACATTCAGCTCTGGCATAGGTTGGAGGGGCGCTCCGCCTTGGGTCTTGTCCAGTAGGGGCTTAATAGCAGATCGCAGGTACTTGAAGTTGAAATCTATCTGTAAACACACATACACCTGTATAAGGGGTATAAGGGTTTACCTGATCATCTATACAAAACGAACCCTAAGTCGAGACACCGTGAGTTTAATGACACAGTCAGCTGTGTTTGGCCCAAATTTATGTAGTATTGCATGATCAAAGAGTTTACGGAAATTAATGGTAAAACATCAATGTTGTAGTTATACATGATAAAGTTTAACATTATTAAATATTGAACAACAGGGAAAGTTATACTGATATACAGCTTCTTTATTATAATGTAAGCGACGTTTCGGTGTAGCTGGTAACACCGTTATCAAGCAAGTGGGTGATATAAAGAAGATGTATATCCATATAACTTTCCCCGTTGTTCATCACACCAACTTCTAAATGCACTCAAAGAAGTTATTATAAAGTATTGACAGGTCAAAATAAGTGGTATAGAAATGAAGGTCCACTTCTTAATGATAACACATCAAATCATCAAACTGTTGGGATTGCTGAAGGACATTCATCCTCGTAGTGACTGTTTGTGTAAATGAATACATCTTCTTTCTTACAGAAACGAAAATATTCGAAAATGGATGGTTTGGAGATTCCTATGTTTGTCTCTGAACTGCATCACTGATGTTAAGGGGGTGAGTGAGTGAGTGAGTGAGTGAGTTTGGCTTTACGCCGCTTTTAGCAATATTCTAGCAATATCACGGCGGGGGACACCAGAAATGGGCTTAACACATTGTACCCATGTGGGGAATCGAACCCGGGTCTTCGGCGTAACGAGCGAACGCCTTAACCACTAGGCTACCCCACCGCCCCGATGTTAAGTGAGAGTAAAGAGAAACGTAATTCACAGTTGGCCTATTAAATATAACCACACCTATCAGTAATGTCATCACAGTGTACATCAACCTCTTCAGTTAAAGGGACGGTGGGGTAGCCCGGTGGTTAAAGCGTTCGGTCGTCACGCCGAAGGCCCGGGTTCGATTCCCAACATGGATACAATGTCTGAAAGCCCATTTCTGGTGTCCCCCGCCGTGATGTTGCTGGAATATTGCTAAAAGCGGCGTAAAACCATATTTACTCATTCACCACTTTTCTGTTGAATAAAACCAAATATTCTTCCTGTATACATTCTCCTTGTGCATAATGGTGTGTATCACTTTCTTGATAACGGTGTTAGCATCTACACCGAAAGAAGTTGTCTATTCATACAACTTCATTATAGCAGCTTCTAAATGCCACTCAAAGAAGTTGGGATATTATTCAGCAACTCACGAAATAGTTCCTACTCCGAGGATCCAGGCTTGACAGCGACTGACAGCGTTCTAACACAACCTGCATGGAAATACATTAGATATATAAACATTGTATCTGGTGCAAATCGACCACAGGTGTTCGGAGTGACTCACCAAGGTTTATCGCTCTTCTGTTGCATAATATGAACTAAACGACGTGAGGGGTTGTTTACTTTACACCAAAACGCTTCCGGGAGAGTAAAACGCGAGGGGTTCATTACAGATAAACAACGACCACATGAGATACGAATAATGTAAACAATATTTTCAGCTTCTTTAAGGATGCTAATAACATTTACAAGCTTCAAAACATTATTGCCTGTATGTTATATGGGCGCCTCATTAAATATAGTCTCGCAAACCTGGACAAGTCCAATTTATGAATATTTATTTTGATGTTTCAGGTTTCAGCGTTAACAGTATTCAAAGGAAATGTGCCACATGTATAACTGACGGCCATTATCTGCTCCTTTCACCTTTTTACCAATTTCCATATCATGCCCACATTTCGTTGGTATGTTGGTAATTGCGTTCGGCCCAACCTCAACTAAGGGAAACAACTCACTACCTTCTCCGAAATAGCATCATCCAAGTCACGTCGTCATCAAGTTGAGCGAGTATGTTCGAATCTCAAGACATGACGTGATGATAGAACAATGTTTTGCAGTGAAATAAACCACTCCTCGTTCTTCGTTAGTTTTTTATTTATACGTCTTGTATTTGTGATATTTGCTCACATATGTGAGTCTGTTAAATAACATATATGTATGTTCATCTATGATCCAGTATGTGATATGTTCATATATTCACCCACCATGCAGACTTCGGGCAGCTGCCTTATGAGTCCCACCATTGGACACCCATACAGGGGTGACGTCATATCCATCGCTTCCTGCCACCTGTGAAAGGTCACGTGGTATCAGTGTTAGGAAACAATGCGGATAACGGTAAAAGTCACATGGTAAACAGTTTAACAATTGATGTACTCCACAAACAATAAGAGGGCATATATCGTGATTTTCATTGCACCGATATGTTTCTGCTCCTACAAAGTTGGTAAATTGGTAAATTCTTTAAAATGATATTAACGTGAAAGACATCCCACTGTAATTGTTTTCATTGCGCTCACGTATTGCACTACTTTCAAGAACAGTATTCTATCCTTTGAAATATTTGTGAAACTGACTAAACAATTGGTTTGTTTCTTGCGCAGATTTATATTTCTACTTCAAAGACAAAGCTGTCACATCCTTTGAAATATACATCAAAATGACAAAACAACTGTGTTTGTCTGATTGCTATAATAGTAACGTCTACTTCCTACTTCCGAATAAAGAATATCACAGCCTCTGAAGTGTACATGACAAAAGAATGGCTATGTCCTATTTCCCTGGCCTTGAGTTCTACTTCCTGGAAAATATTATTGAATCCTTTGAAACATACATGAAATTGATCAAGACAGTCCCGTAGTGCGGGACTCTATTGTCAGGTTACTACCACCACGTCCTGCACAGCGTGAGGGATTTTGCTGGCGTAGGCAAAGTCACGTCGGCAAATACCAGTCGTCACGTGATTTCCTGTTCATATGTGGGATGCGATACAGTGATTCATTAATTTGATTGCGTTTCAAAATATAATGAAAGATCGACATCTAATGAATAGAATCGTGTCGTGTATTTCACCTGAACTTGTTTTAAACTGAGTAATTGACAACACGGAAATACGATGAATGTAATGAAATTGTGTTACACTTATACGTGAGTAAGTCTGAGTTCAACCTTTAACAGTGTTCCTTTAATATCACGGCGTGACGGCTTAATGTGGTAGTTAAGAGCACAGTGATGCAATCACAGAACCGTGACATCATAAGCGAACCTGGCAAACCTTTAAACACAACGTTAACGAACCGTGATTCGAACCATAATCACAAGTTTCAGGCGTACCAAAGAGACGACTGGGCACCCGTTAGTCTTTACGGCTAAACGTGACCATAAATAGTCACAAATGTAAGCAGATAAGACAGGATTTACAAATTGTCTCAGATTCATTAAATATATGTAGGAAATATTTTGTGAGATACTTATGAATACAGTTATTTAGTTATTTATTTTTCTTTTGTACATAGGAAGGCATTCTCAGTGTCATCATAGTCGTTCAGGGCCCCGTTCCACAAAGCGATATTTACGCTTTGGTTGTATAAACGATATACTTTACGCTTTGGTTGTATAAGATACCATATACTTTAACATTAAATATATGCTAGCGATAGTCGTTAGAGCTGCGGGAAGGCATTTTCAGTGTCACGGGTTTCAGGGCTAAGTCGATTCCTGGACTATATACTTTAGGGATATCATTATATGTATGATGTATGTCACATTATATGTATGTGTATGTCACAGACCGTTTATGGATGACAATGCCCATGGCGACGTCAGCGCTTGCATGTTGGATGGCGTTGTCGAAGAACGTCCTCTCGTCAACATTCTGTGTAAAGCTGGCACCCATGGACATGAGGAGGGTGACGGCGCTGGTGTGGCCGTGAAGCGCGGACAGATGGAGCGGTGTGTCCTGAAAAACTGGGTACTCTCAGTGAGTGTGGTTTGTACACGGTATTAGTAATATCCTGGCGTGTCAACTAATTATAGTAATAATAAGACAGTTGACCGAAGTGATGATGTGCTCAGAAATTTACCACTTTGATGAAACCTCGAGCACGATTATTGTGCTGACAGGTCTGGAAACATAATCAGACCGATAGGTTCCCTGCCTAATCTTGGTGATATGAAACCACGAGTATAGGTTCCTGGCGCGTCAAAGGGACGCAACACTGATCTGCGAGTTAGATACTGGTCACATATTACAAGGGTGGGTAGGTCTGAGTATTTAATGCAATAATGTGCAGAATATAATGAAACTCCCCTAATACTTGTAACATTTTGGATGATTTTTGCAAGGACTTTGGACACATTTGTCAGGCGATTCCACGAAGAGACGAAATGAAAAAGGTATTTATATTTTGTTTAAAACAATCAAATGTTTCACGACCTACCGCAAATGTGTAATATTCTTTTTACCCTTTCCTAAAGGCTGTCATATATGAGTGTGGACCATACCGGGAGTCCTTCTGAACACAACATCCTATAATAGATGACTGACTGACTGACTGAGTTTAGTTTTACGCCGCTTTTAGCAATATTCCAGCAATATCACGGCGGGGGACACCAGAACTGGGCTTCACTCATTGTACCCATGTGGGGATTCGAACCCGGGTCTTCGGCGTGACGAGCCAACGCTTTAACCACTAGACTACCCCACCGCCCCTATAATAGATGACCAGTCACTTAGTCGACTGAGTCAATTGTGTGAGGTAATTGAGCCATTGAGAAGGCTGTAATACCCAAACTAACACGTGGTCTCAAAACATTGAAAGTTTCTTTCGGCACTAGTCCGCAGTACAGCATCTTGATAAAAGTTAAAGAATTAAAACCACACTGAGACAAATACAACAAATAACACACACAATAAAACCAAACAACCATTTCAACCGTTTTAGTCATTTAGTTTCGGGTTTGAAAACTTGCGCTTAAAAATACTGCCCCAGGGCTGCCTATATAAGCGATACAAGATGGCCACTCTGGGTTATTGCATTTTGTCGTGACTTTGACTCAGAGACTGAACCAAGCTGATTCAGTGTGTCATCCTTATCAGTATTTATTGATTACCACACCATCGATGCCTGGTTAGCCGGGCCTTGTGTCAATAACCCTTTAATATAGAATATTACACAATGAAACAATGATAACTCGTTTTCAATGTATTTCGGACAACCACCTTCTTGTCACAACATGTTAACATGTTTAATATTAGTAAATCGCATACAAAATATGAATAGCTCCCTATATGATTTAGAAACTAAAACACTCTAAGGCGTTTCACAGAAAGAGTCACAAGTACAGTGTACAGTGTACAGTGGACGCAGAGTTAAAGAGTGAGTGAGTGAGTGAGTGAGTCTAGTTTCACGCCGCTTTTAGCAATATTCCAGCAATATCACGGCGGGGGACACCAGAAATGGGCTCCACACACTGTGCCCATGTGGGGAATCGAACCCGGGTCTTCGGCGTGACGAGCGAACGTTTTCACCACTAGGCTACCGCACCACCCCCAGAGATAAAGAGATGTTTGTTATCGAAGTTACAACAACGTGCAGTAAACTTGGACAAAGTACTGTGCCTATATGTCCCAGTCACCCAGCTGTGAATAGGTACCTCGTAAGGGCGGGAAAGTCACATTAACTTAGTGCGCCTAGTGGCTGCAAGAGTTGTATGATCCCCAGGGAGTTGAGATTGATAATACGATGTGCCGTTGAGACTGACAATCTAATGATCGAGGTAAAAACAAAGATGCGATTTGAGCATGCATGTAGATGGGAGGGACTATAGCGCTACATAAATACCCATATAAATGAGGTAATTTATTGTCCCCAACAGAATTGGTTTATCTATAATATTCTCCTTAATGGTAACTTCGCTTGGCTTATCGAACAACGGATCCCTCGATATATTTCCACATAGAATTCGAGTTAACGGGGTCTAATGTACACCTGTGCGCATCACTTACGTCATCGTTGTTGCTGAAGTCCAGCAGATGGGGGTACACTCCCAGCAGTAGCCTCATGCAGTGTGTGTAGCCGCTGGACGCCGCCAGGTGGAGCGCAGTGTTCCCATCAAAGTCCCTGTAAGAACACCACGACAATATCATATTGAGATAGAAACGTTGACTGAAGGAACGAAATTCACCCGAAGCTGACTGTGCATGCGATGGCCAAATATAAGAACTGTAGTTCCTTGGATCAAGTTCTGCAGCTGATTAAATGCATACATTTATACGTGTCTTTAAAATTATTCGAAACTCGTCATAAGATGAGGGATATGTTTTGTGTGGAACAGGTCAGTTCATTCTGATCCTTTGAGCTCTTGTCTTCAGATGGTAAGTAATAGCATAGTGGTAAAATAGTTCTCAGGTTCGTTTCTCTAATAAGGCAATAATTTGAATTCCTCTGCTGGTGTCCAATCATGGCTTATAGCTGTAAGAATGGAGCAAAACGCTACTCATTGTCATGTCACACATAACCTTTAGTGACAGATGTATTTGATATTTAAGAGAGCTACCCTCATCAAACAAGTTTTTCATTCGGTTCCTATCAGAGGATACGCTACCTTCCAGCCATCGCTCCCTTCTGTAGCAGCAGTTTGACAACTTTCGTATGTCCTCTCTCCGCCGCCATGTGGAGCCCAGTCTGGCCATGTGTGTCCGTCTCGTTGATGATGCTTGCCCCTTGGTCACTGTCCAGTAGGCGCCGGCACGTGCTCAATCGCCCATTCCTAAAGTAAGACACAACAGCGACTTTAACAAACAAGAACATTTGTATTTTACGTCAGACGTGCCTGTTATCATCTTAGTCTCATACCTTAACTTCTTACTTAGCCTCGTGCACATCAGACCCGTGAAGATCCGGGTTAGAATTGGTTTTCAGCAACCCAAGCTTGTCGTAAGAGACGACTAAAGGGATCGGGTGGTCAGGCTCGCTAATGTGGTTGACACATGTCATCGTATCCGAATTGCGTAGATCGATGCTGTTGATCACTGGATTGTCTGGTCCAGAATCGATTATTTACAGACTGGTGCCTTATATCTGAATGTGGCGTTAAACAACAACCAATCGTACACATCCATGTTAAATGAACACCTCCCCGTCATGACAGTATTTGCCAAACAAACCTTGCAGCGAAATGGAACGGTGACCGTTTTTCATTATTCTTGGGACTGATGACGGCTCCCATCTTGAGGAGGTCGTCTATGGCCAACAAGTGACCCTCCTTGGACGCATAGTGAAGAGGTGTGCATCCAAAGTCATCCTTCTCGTTCAGGTACTGCTGCATCCCCTGCAACATTCGTGCAACTAAACATTGTTTGTGGTTGGGACAACGCGGAAATGAGGAAACTATCATGTGCATTTCTGCAATTTACTCAACGGGAGATGATCAACACGGATGTCATACTGTGATGTCACTACTCACGCTGAGTAACAATAGGCCATATGAGACAGGAAACTGTCATTCAAACCATGTATAGTTGTGAGAAAAAGTGTTCTAATACCATTAGCAATATAGCACTAAACACCTGAAAAGGTATTACGGCTGTTTTTGTTAAACAAAATTTTGTGTTTAAGGATTCATCTTATTCGACACATTACAACATTTACATAGAAACCTCCTGAGGAGAGTTAGAGAATTTGAGGGTGATATGGGTTGAGGGGGAGATGAAAATGGGTTTTATGTCGCAGTCAGTTTTATTGCATTATATGGGAACGTGCATGCACGTGTGTGTTGCTGCTTTGCTGTTCAGACCCGAAGCCGGGTTCTGAGTGCCAGACAACTGAAATACCTTCAATACCTCATTGACATGCAGTGTACAATCCGTGTTTTATCCCCTAAAGGCCGAACTCCATGTACCGGTAAGATGCGGCCAAAGGTTCGAACTATGGACCAGAAGCTCTGTCCACTAGACTACAGAGACGGACAGCGATATGCAGGTCTACTAACTATATATACAGTACAGCAGTAATGTTGTCTTGCCCTTCGTCTCAGTTACCTGTAACACATTACAGCCAAGGTCGTTTATTTTGCCACCGAACCTGATTGCAAGATGTAAAAAAGTTTCTGTTTTGATGATCCTTCACATGCATGTCTGCCTTGTTGCCAAGGAGACATGTGACTGTCTCCCAGCCACCCTTTGAAGCAGCCAATAGGAGAGGCGTCTTAGCCTGAGTGTCCTTGACATTCATATCAGCGCCCTGTTGAAGAAGAGGGTTCATATATTAACACCCAAAATGGAAAGGTTTATTATTTCAGCTGCTTCAGTGTAGTATTATGATTTGTACCTTTTCCATTAGAAATTCTACGACACTGAAGTGATTAAAGATGGCGGCTCTGTGAAGTGGGGTCATGTCGTCGATGTCGCGGACACTGAGGGCATCAATGAAGTTGTCAGGCTGCATCTCGTCCATGAGGTATACCATAGGGAGATTCCCCTGTGAGCAGGCGAAGTGGATAGGGGTTGACCCGTCATCCTGGCAACACGGCAAAGGGGAGACAGTGAATACATACAAGGGGTGCAACGTGAATTATTTTTAGCAATGAGAATGAGAGCGACACATATGTTCCTATACTTGTGGTTGCATGGATCTTAGAAAATTGTAAACTAAATTTGAAGAAAAATATAGAAAAGATTCATGCAACCACAAGAACAGAAACAGTGTCTCCAAGATAATGAAATAATTAAGTAAATTCTAAACAAAGCTAACTTCTTCATTGACTGACTGCAACTATGTATGTTTGTGCCAATACTTTTTAAACGTAGTATCGCGCTATACTTCGGCATCATTAATATGGCTATATTAATTACGTTGAAGAATACTCTGGCTCTGCTGTGGAGTCTTCTAGCAGATATACTGACTATGTTTAGACTTATTGCTTTTGTTTAGAACTCTTTACCTGATACCTTGATATAAAATGACCAAGTTCCACTATCTTAAACCTGCCAAGAGTCAAATTGATAACGAGCATCGGACATAATCCAAGGCCAGTTTCTCTTAAGCTAACAGAGCCAAGGTATTTCGGTTGTTTATATTCCACGTTGTACAAATCACGCGCGTACCAGATATACCTTCGTGGCATACTCGCAACTAGTCATCCATTGTACACAGTTATCATCGATACTTCAGTCAAACTAAATGGCACAATCTCAAGTTCACAATAACAACGTCATCGTAAATTTAATCAGTAAGTGCGAGTATCTGCGATAGCTGGAATAGGTACATAATACGGACGACATTCACACATCATTGTGTGGCTGGGTTATAAATTCACGTGTATTCACCAAGGTATGGTGTTGTGTGTGGGTTGGTATAGTGGTACCTCTTGCCAAGCGAGCTGATTCCCGCGTTGTAATATTCGTTGATGGAAAAGACACAAACCACACTCTGACGTTGAGGTGAGGTGAGGTGAAATTGGGTTTTACGTCGTGCTGGAGAATATTTCGCTCATATGACGACGTGCATGCGTGTGTATGTGTATGTGCGCCTGCTTGTACTAGCCCAGACTTAAGCTGGTTTTATAGTGCTAGCCTACTGAGATACCATGCCGCAGTGAAGCATGAATACCCGACTCAGACACATTATACTGACATTAAGCCGACGAGTCCTTGTTGTACCCATTGATGCCGAGCGCCAGGCAGGGACCAACAAGTACCATATTTTAACGTCTTTTGGTATGACGCGGTCGGGGATCGAACCCGCGACCTTCCGCTCTCCGGGCGGGCGCTCTAACCACTACACCACGGAGGCGGTCCTCTGACGTTGAACACTGTACACATGTGACCCCGAACATTCAGTGTTTGTTGGTAGGAACATGCTTTGCTTCAAACTGTATTAATATGCAAACCCACTAAACCCGAACACCATTATCATACATGTCATTAACACACGCTTTTCTCTTTTTAAAAAGAGGACAACAGACCATAAAAAATGATCGACATTGGAAACAGATTTAGTTGTTTACTTAAACATTTCCAGGGAGTAAAACATCAATACCAGCCTGTTATTACATAATGGTGGTGTACAGGTGATGCATAGCTGTGTTAAACATGCTAAAACTGGCTAATGGCACCTTGTGTTGGGTCGTTTATGTACTCAATGAAGTAATTTTGCCGTGAGTTGATTTCAAAACAACGCATGTAAAACGAGTCGGTTATATTGGGGTTTGACGTAGAATTAATTTAATCCCGGAGAAGTGCATATGTACTTTTATAATAGTATATGTGTAAATATACAACAATGTACGTTGTAATTGCAGACTAGATTATTCAAGATCACTGCCTTTAACTAGAATATTTATGAATCATCTGTTAACGAAAGGACCCCACTCCACCCAAAACCAACCAAACAACCGACCGATTGATCGATCGATCGATCAGACAATCAGTTAATCAAAGAATCAATCAAATATACAGATAAACAAACAAACAAGCAAATAAATACATAAATTAAAGATAAAAGTAATAATAATCATCCACAAATATCGTATATCAATGTTGTTTAGATACCTGATGCTGTACTGCAACTGACGAGCCTGCATTCAAACACACTTCAACAACCTGCAGAAATAAATGAAAGAATTCCTGTTTCAATACGTCCAGTAGGTAATTGGTTTTATAAGTAATGATGAGGCCTAATTAATGTTCTCTTAGCATGGAATGTCCGGAACTGAACGGCTTGACTGCCTCCACAAAGCCCCCGGTAATCACTCATCTTTAGATAAACCATTCAGCATAATAACTGAGAAAACATTTCCTACTAATATTATCTCTACATACAGGAAGTACGAGATAACAGTGATAAGGGCTAACTTTTCAATGTATGGAACGGATGATCAAGCCGCACTTACCTCTCCTGTAACAAATAAAGAGATGAAGCATAGGCCGTCTTCATCATTATGTGAGTTGCGTTTTAACGTTGCTTTGTACTTGATAAAAGTATTTCGCTTACATCATGGCGTGTGCAAGTAAACACGGAGTTATTGAGACCTAATGTTTTCGGTGAAAGCATATGAGCTGTGGTGCTGACAATGCTTGAAACAGGCCCTGGGAGAATCTTGGATTCAATCTGCTCATTAACGTCGCTATGTAGGGTATGTCACACACATCGCGGTGTGCAGCTTGATGTATAATAAGCCCGGGGTTATTAAGCCAATACTGCACTTTTGAATTATGTGACACGGGTATGCTGCTAAGCCTGGAAACAGATTCAGGAGAACCTGGGATTCAAACCCTCGATCTTTGCCTTATGGCAGGCAAGAACAACGCAACTCTGAAGAGTGATTTTCCAGTTTAACTGTTACACAGCAAACTACGTTCATATAGAACACGCTTATAACGAACTGATGGGTATAACGAGGGTGCTTTGGTCCAGGCCACTGGATTTTGCTTTTAGACAAAATCCGTTTATCGAACTACGGTTATTTCAAACTGGGATTAGTGGTCCCTTGAGTTCGATATAACCGACGTTTACCGTACATGTAGCTAGAGTAACTGTTAAATACATTATGTCATGTGAATTACTTTATTCATCATTGGTATTTTATGGGAAATTGATACCCTCATTTGTCTGACTACGAGAAACATTACCACACACATGAAGGTAATAATATGTGCAAAGAAAGTGTAATTATAACGTTACAAAAATGAGTATATAAATTGTTTTCTAAAATATCTTAAATTTATGAAATATTGACAGAGAAAATACATACAGAAATTGTGATAACAGACACGATTTGTTTCGACCTTAATGCTAACGGACTACCTTCAGATTACCACTGTGGACAGCGGAGTGGAGGGGCGTGTTGTTCTCTTTGTCCAGGAAGGACAGAATCTCATCGCGTTTGTAGCCTCGTTTGATTGCTGGAATAAACCATGTGATGTGGTTGACATTTCATTATTTACGCATTGATCACATAAGAGAATGTTTGCATTAATAACACCATCGATTGTCAATACATTCCGTTATCAGTGAAGGAGAGGGGTACATTTCAAGATTGAAGCATTTCCACATTGATTGACAGTACGGTTATGATTATAAACATAGCTATATATAGGAATAACGCTTATATGATAACGTATATATCAATGTTGGGAATATATAGGGATGAATCAAAGGATAACGCAATAATAGAAACTTGTTGTAGCTGATGGTGTAAGGGACTCACCGGCCTGGATGAGGACACTGAGAGTGTCTGCGGACGCCGACTTGGCGGCAGCGTGGATGGGATAAAAGCCATTGTCACACTTCATGTTGGGTAGAGCGCCGGCCTCCAGCTATTAAGGGAAAGGTACTGAGTTGAACCCATTTACGCTGGATTTTCTAATATGTGTATCATTATGTGTTCGTCTGTCTCCTATGTTGTGTTGTGTGGCATGATAGGATCGTAGGCACGAAGAAGTACCACTGCTACCACCGCCAGTACCCCTATTGCTGCTGCTGCTGCTGCTACTACTGCTACTACTACTTCTAATATTACTTTAGAGCTACTGCTACTGCTGCTTCTACTACTACTTTACTACTACTACTACTACTACTACTACTACTACTACTACTACTACTACTACTACTACTACTACTACTACTACTACTACTACTACTACCACTACTACTACTAACCACTATTATTACTACGACTACCCCTAAAGATCCGGGTTAGAATTCTGCTTCAGCATCCCATGCTTGTCGTAGCAGGCGACTAACGGGATTGGGTGGTCAGGCTCGCTGACTTGATGTTGATCACTGGATTGTCTGGTCCAGACTCGATTATTTACAGACCGCCACCATATAGCTAGAATATTGCTGTTAAACATTAAACAAACAAACAACGCCACTACTACTACTAATCATACTTCTAATACAGCTACTGCTACTACTACTACTACGGCAAATGCTACTTCCCGTACTACTACTAAAACACTGCTAAAAGAATAGAATGTTTTAGAGCAAGACAGAGGGTCTGTTTCTACATGCTAATCAGTTGTCATTCCCCAACGTCAACATGGAACCTCAGAGATGAACGTGTTTCTCACCAGCAGCCGTGCACATTCCCCCGTGTTCATATTAGCACAGAAGTGGAGCGGCGTCCCTCCCATCTCCCCCCGTAGGTTCACGTTGACATCCTTGTGCTTCACCAGCGCCTGCATGAATTGCAACAACGTTGATGACAACTTAGAAGATATACTTTAAATGACGTTAATGAAGTACGATGTTGGACAGTGGCAGTAATGACATAAGAGTGACGTTTAAACTCCTTGCCAAAATGTTCCAGCCTCAACAGAGAGGTGCCTCATGTATGGGCAAGAGACACTGACCCCTGCTTTAACTGAAGAAGTCAGTATTTTTTCCTGTAGTTAGGAGTATTCAAATTATATCACGTCGAGGGGTACCGGAACTGCGCTTAACACACTATACCTATGAGGGAAATCAAATGTATAAATGGAATTAGTCACTGTAGTCCTGCATATGTCACCTCGAGAGACTTGAGATATCCCCCATCAGCTGCCACGTGCAAGGCAGCCATGTTTTTGTCGTTGAGGACGTTGCTGTCAGCGCCAGCGTCCAACAGGAACTCGATACCTTCCACCTGTGACGCCTCGACGGCGTAATGCAAGGGGGTGTTGCCATGGTGATCCTTCAGATTCAAGTCTGGGAACGGAATGTAGTATCGTGCAGAAAACGCATTGTTTTACAGAGACGCTGTACTTAGTTGCATGCCACATTATTTAAAAGAAAATGTTCTACGACAATTTTATTTTATGTGTATTAAGAAAGGTAAGACTTTGTTTCAGAAAAATATTGAATTTCATGCAAATTCTTAGTGAAATTTTGTGAAAGTTCATTATAAGGTCCAACATGAAACTGAGAGCCATGCGCAGAGCTTGTCACTGCTATTGACATAGTCTGTCTCAGTCCCTGAACCGCATTATTTTCCCTTCTACCTAGCAAGCCTGCATTACTACAGCCTTAAATGAAGTCAGTTTAGATTTCCTCTGGTTCAGGAAATTCTGAATCTCAACGGGGCTCCTTCCCAATGTAATGGGATTATTTGTTACTATCAGAATTACATATATTCAGAGACTCGGCGTTAGTCTACCATGCACACATTACCTCCACCATGTTTCACTATTGACTGCAGAATGTTTGTGCGCCCTCTAGCAGATGCATGGTGAACAGGTGCTTTCCCCTTGGCGTCCTTGACATTCAACTGTGAAGGGTCTCTCCTGTAGACGAGTTCAAATTCTTCGAGGTCCCCTTGACCTGCCAACTGCAATACGGACCACGGAAAGAAAATAGGTGTGATAACAAACATCACCAATACAAGTTCATGTCATTGTAAATTTCGCTAACACAGCATAGTATCAATGTTGTTCTCAATTTACATGTCACCAAGATATATATATTATATGTTTTCGAGACTATATAGAGCATATTCTACTCAGATAAATTCTTTTACGATCTACCATTGAGTATCTTTCATAACCTTATTGATTGGTTTGGTTATTTATGGTTTACGATATTCCCAGGCGCCCTACCCTCGAATGTGAGTATGTCATTATTCATTGCCTTATGATAACAGCCTTGACCTATTGATAGTTTGCTTCATGTTGCGTCTACTCAGATAAATACTTTTACGATCTACCAATATACTATCTTTCATAACTTTTCTATTATTCATGGTTTACGACATTCCCAGGCGCCCTACCCTCGAATGTGAGTATATTTTCATTCTCTCATGACAAATGGCCTTGACCTATTGATAATTTGCTTCATTTTGATCCAGTTTCTATGACACGCAGCTAAATATAGTCGTCCGAGCAAGCAACACACATCAAAAGAGAAATTCTGTGTTTGAATAGTGATAAAAGAGTGAGCGAGTTTAGTTTTACGCCGCTTTTAGCAATATTCCAGGAATATCACGGCGGGGGATACCAGAAATGGGCTTCGCACATTGTACGCAAGTGGGGAATCGAACCCGGGTCTCCGGCGTGACGAGCGAACGCTTTAACCACTAGGCTACCCCATCGCCCCTAGTGATGTAAGAAAGTCATGTCCCAAACGAAACTTCGTATTGAAATGGATTCAGGATATTTATTACCGTAAGAAGAAGATAGTCTGGAAAATCGAGTGTGTTGGCGCCCTTCTTCTCTATAGAACAACTTTAGAAGCTTGATTTTTAAAATACGATAGGTTCAGAGAATCGAAAATTCGAAGGAAGCTACGTTTGGCAACTTTTATAAATCTGAAAGAATATAATACATACAGAGAGGACATCAACTTTACACAACACCGACAACATGAAGCCTTTCCGAGATGATATTTGTTACACTGTCTCTGCAATTTCACCAAATTGTTGCTATTATACGGTATAACTTAGCACGAATAAGATGGCTTAACACCTCTTTTCCGACATATCGCGGGTGATAATAGTCCACGACGAGTCAGTTCGTACACATATTCAATTAGGTGATATAAAAAACCCCATTGATATTGCGCTAGCACACCTAGTTTCATAAGGAGAGGGAATTTGGGATTCGAACACATTCTCAGCGGATCCTTGCAAGATAAAGGGACACGAGTTTTGGTATCTAATAACGATGACCTACCTCTGTGAGGGACAGGCGGACACTGGCGATGCTATCCCTTCGCTCATCATCAGGGATGGAGGGGATCTCCGATCTTCTCCATGACTCCAGCCATCGGTTTATTCCCTTTACCATTCTTGTCATATAAAACGTCAACACATGCAAGTTCGTATATTACTCCAAGAATAATACAGGAAATCTGTTCAAAGGTTGTATGTATATATGCTTCCGGCGGCTCCAAGCATCAGTTGTGCATAAATACCCGCATTAGTTACATAAAGTACCTCTTAAGAACGGTCTACATCACGATATAAATATATATTGGCTGTTTAACCTTCTCATAACCGATCCAGCAATCAATTCACAACAGCGTCTATACTTCACTGACGAGATCTAACACTTGTTCCAGTTATTGAGACTATCAAGTCAATGACGCTCACGTTTTGTCCACATCGGTGTTCTATCATTCATCGATGCATTTGACATGTGAAAGTCTCGTACACATAGAACTGAACCATCAAAGTTAGTTTCACTTTGATCTCAATTTTGTATGTCAGTGTCACGTGACTGGTCAACCGCACGAGCTGACACCCTGGTTTACTCAACTTCCTCGTTTCCCTGTACCGGATCAGCAGGAAGTCAGTGTTTATATCTCTTTTGTGGTTTATATCAAATATTCAGTGCATCAGCAACTCAGATTTCGGTGGAAAAAGTATCATTTGTGTTGAAGGAATACTGTCAGTTCTGTCTTTATTGTCTAGAGGTCAAGCAAACACTATAGTGTACTGGAAGAAAGAAAAGGTCACTTTCTCCAAAATGAACCCAGTATGTCTTTGTATATTTCAGGATACTTCTATCTCTATGCTTCCATGTAAACAATGGAGAAATGTAAATATAATCTTGCTTTAGTTTTTAATGGCAGCTATTCTCGCAGTTGTGATGTGTGTACTGGTGTATTGTATTCCTGTTGTATATGTGAAGTGTATGTGGTGTTGTATATGTGACGTGTATGTGGTGTTGTATATGTGGTGTTGTATATGTGACGTGTATGTGGTGTTGTATATGTGACGTGTATGTGTGTGTTAAGTGTGTGATGTGGTGTTGTGTGTGTGATATGTGACGTGTATGTGGTGTTGTATATGTGACGTGTATGTGGTGTTGTATATGTGGTGTTGTATATGTGACGTGTATGTGGTGTTGTATATGTGAAGTGTATGTGGTGTTGTATATGTGACGTGTATGTGGTGTTGTATATGTGAAGTGTATGTGTATTTGTGTATGTTATGTGACGTGTATGTGGTGTTGTGTATGTGACGTGTATGTGGTTTTGTATACGTTGTATATGTGAAGTGTATGTGGTGTTGTATATGTGAAGTGTATGTGGTGTTGTATATGTGACGTGTATGTGGTGTTGTATATGTGAAGTGTATGTGGTGTTGTATATGTGAAGTGTATGTGGTGTTGTATATGTGGTGTGTGTATATGTGAAGTGTATGTGGTGTGGTATATGTGAAGTGTATGTGGTGTTGTATATGTGAAGTGTATGTGGTGTTGTATATGTGAAATGTATGTGGTGTTGTATATGTGAAGTGTATGTGGTGTTGTATATGTGAAGTGTATGTGGTTTTGTATATGTGAAGTGTATGTGGTGTTGTATATGTGAAGTGTATGTGGTGTTGTATATGTGAAGTGTATGTGGTGTTGTATATGTGAAGTGTATGTGGTGTTGTATATGTGAAGTGTATGTGTATGTATATGTGTTGTATATGTATATGTGTATGTATGTGGTGTTGTATATGTGAAGTGTATGTAGTGTTGTATATGTGGTGAGTGTATGTGGTGTTGTATATGTGAAGTGTATGTGGTGTTGTATATGTGGTGTATATGTGAAGTGTGTGGTGTTGTATATGTGAAGTGTATGTGGTGTTGTATATGTGGTGAGTGTGTGGTGTTGTATATGTGGTGAGTGTGTGGTGTTGTATATGTGAAGTGTATGTGGTTTGTATATGTGATGTGTATGTGGTGTTGTATATGTGAAGTGTATGTAGTGTTGTATATGTGAAGTGTATGTGGTGTTGTATATGTGAAGTGTATGTGGTGTTGTATATGTGATGTGTATGTGGTGTTGTATATGTGAAGTGTATGTGGTGTTGTATATGTGAAGTGTATGTGGTTTTGTATATGTGAAGTGTATGTGGTGTTGTATATGTGAAGTGTATGTGGTGTTGTATATGTGAAGTGTATATGTGTATGTGGTTTTTGTATATGTGAAGTGACGTGTGTGGTGTTGTATATGTGAAGTGTATGTGAAATCTGTGTTGTATATGTGAAGTGTGTGTGGTGTTGTATATGTGAAGTGTATGTGGTGTTGTATATGTGGTGAGTGTGTGGTGTGTATATGTGAAGTGTATGTGGTGTTGTATATGTGGTGAGTGTGTGGTGTTGTATATGTGAAGTGTATGTGGTGTTGTATATGTGGTGAGAAGTGTGTGTGGTGTTGTATATGTGAAGTGTATGTGTTGTTGTGTGGTGATGTGTATGTGGTGTTGTATATGTGAAGTGTATGTGGTGTTGTATATGTGGTGAGTGTGTGGTGTTGTATATGTGAAGTGTATGTGGTGTTGTATATGTGAAGTGTGTGTGGTGTTGTATATGTGAAGTGTATGTGGTTTTGTATACGTGAAATCTATGTGGTGTTGTATATGTGAAATACATGTGGTTATGTTTAGCTTATGTGTATGTAATTTTGCATTCGTGACGTGAATGTGTATTTAGGTGATTCTTCGCTTATAGTGTATAGAATTTACATATCTTTATCATTAGTATTGCAATGTTGTTGTGTATGTGGTGTCCTGATGTTTTGGGTATTACGTTTATTATGTACTCTTTACATTGTATGCAATAATTTGTTTTTTGTTGTGTGATGTGTATCGTGTTATGAATTGTGTTGTGTGCTATGTATTGTTTCGAGACGTGCAATGTGGTGTATGTTGGATATTGCGTTGTGTAAATTACATTATGCTTAGTGTTCATTAATGCGTATAGTGTAGTGTGTTTTGTGTGTGATAAGTGGTGGATGTTTGTGGTATTTTGTGTTGTATATTTCATATATGGTATGTTGTGTCTTGTATTTTGTATGTGATAGCATGTGCCTATTTAGTTTGTGGTGTGTTGTCTTTCATATTTTGTATGAGTTATTGCGTTGTTGTGTGGTATATAGTGATGTGGAATGTGTAGCATCCCGTGTTGTATATTGTATATGTGGTATCCTGTGTCTTGTATTTTGTATGTGATAGCATGTGCCTATTTTCCTTGTGGTGTGTTGTCGCTTGTAGTGTGTCTAATCAATTGTATGTTGTGTCTTCAGAGGATGTATTTAGAATTTTGTGGTGTGTGGTGTGTGGATTCACAGAAAGACAACACGCTCATATATCAACAACAACTTTTATTACTCTCAATACATAAACAATAATCACACATTATCACCATAGAGACAAATGTATCACAGGAATCGTCCATATGTTTATACGGATTCAGGCGAAGGTCTAATCTTGCAATGATTAGATTTTGTGTTAGTGAGCTATTCATCGGTCTCAAATGAAACCAAACAGACTGTAAGTGAGGCGGTAAATCGGTGACAGAGGGAGCCAACAACAAATTCTCACGAACCTCTAAACGTAGTCGTGTCATCTGTCGTTGACAGTTCCGACTCCAAAAGGATTTATATGTATTGGTGGCCGGGACAATTGGGTTGATTGTGTTCATGAGCTTGTACAAATAGCTATAACATGTAAATATGGAGACATACAGGCCTTCGAGCCTTTGAGAAACCGTTAGTTAGTGGTACTCGAACACTTATTAATAATGTTTATATTTTTCCTCGTTTTTTCCCAACAACTTTTAAATGCTTATAACTGGAATAACATCCACTGGATGAGAACGTACCATATTGCTAAACGGGTACAATAGCCAGATACTAACATCAATACATTAATAACAGAATAATCTACTTTGCCACAGCAGGCACTCAATAACAGATGGACAAGAGACCTAAATGTTTCTAAAGATATTGGACCAATGTTGTGCTGTAACAATGATAAAAACAGGCAAATCTAGTTACACCAACAGCTGCTAATTTACACAGAAGATTATTTAAGGGGTAATTGTGCCGAACGCAAATGACGAGTGAGAGGGTTACCCGTTTGTTTGGTTACAGGACAGAAACACAAAGGTACCCAGGGTAAACATGGTGTTTTATGTCGGATCGATGGCCACACCAACTATAAGGTTCTAAAACAGAAGCACACTAGTAAACCGCCCCCTTGCGTCTTCCATACCCAATACATCCATTGATAAATCACTCTTGGGCAAACACACGATACTGTGAGTCGGAAACACGTGTTCAATGTTAGTCGAATAAACATGCCATCATGTCTGATTAACTGTTGTGAGTAATTACACTTGCCAGTTGTCTCTGAGATTATTACAATGTTGAACAAGGACTTGTGGTCTGACCATAAACAGATTTTAGAGGCTGTAATAAATGAAATTGCAAAAACACTGTCATCCTGACCCATAGAATGCATAATCGCACGGATGTTGTAGTATCAACATGAGTTTTTCAGGCTTTCAGGAACTAGATGGAAATAAAAGCGCGTCATTGTTCTTAAAGTTTGCGTTTGGCGTGACCATCTGAGAGGCGCCTCAAAGGCGTTTTTACCGATAATGTGAGAGTCTGAAAATGCATGTATAAATATTTTCTTGCACGAGATTTATTCACAGAATGATAATATGACCCTCTTGTTGTTTTTAAGGGTAAAGGTACTCAAAGATCCATACATCACAAGTTGGTAATATTGCCTCAAGGTCTCATGTATCGACATTTGCCAAAATTCAATCTTTAAAAGTCTCATTGTATAATCTGTTTAAGGCACATCGCGTGGTGTATAAAGAAATAATAACAATATCGTTTACACAGCCTGTATGCGGTCTGTAAAGGCACCAGTCTCTATAATGTAGATCTGTCTTATTTCCAATTGAAAGGAATTAATGGTATCTGATTGAAATTGAAATGTTTGGTGCATTGTTGCTTCTGGGTGTTTTAAGGGGTATCCGGGTATTGTGTTCCAACACGCGTTTCACCCTCACCCCGAGTCCACCAACCCCCGCAGTCATTAACTACAGAAGCTATACAGAAATACACGAAGTCATGTGCACACCATAATCCACATGAAACATATACACATGTCTATACAGAACAGACAGAACTTTAATTACCAAACATAAGTAAAAATTTAATGAACAAAATGATAATACATATCACATCAACACGTGCAAATGTCATACGATCCTATGAAATTGACAACGTATGAGACACACTACACTGATACTGATACAGACGAGATTCAACCTCTATATGAAATTGCTTACTATGAAAGGGGATCAGGTTTTAAAAAAATTCTTTTGCAACTTTCGGTATTGACATCTTATCAGTGATGCTGAAAACACTGTTTTATTTCTTTCTTCCTAAAAATGCAAAACTGATCAGTATCTGTATCAAAGGTTATGTCATGACTGAAACGTAATCACTGGACATTTTGCACGTGAACAATAAACATACATAAAAGTAAACAATAAAACATTTTGTGTGTAAATAAATGCACTTATTGACATTTTCGACTTCTTGTTTCGGAAGTTTTAGGGCAGCACAACCATGCTTAATGTATCGCCATCAAATTTCCTAGACGTCTTAAGTAGTTGTCGCGTGATACTTCATGTCTTCAGAATACCTGCCAGCATGCTTCATCAGAGGGAATATATTGTTTACGAAGGATAAAAATATATTCAGTACATGAAGTTTACTTGTTGAGACTGAGGAAGTAACCATCCCCAAGGAGGCAATGGGATCGTTTCCTAAAATGTCTGGTTTTGTTGCTGGAGTTAATGTCAGATACATACCATTTGCATTTTCGCACCACAGAGTTTTTTCAGGTCATTTCATCAGTATATGTCTGGTTATTAAATACTTCATGCATTATCATTATTTCTTCCCCAAAAGGATATATTTTGATATATCTAATCGTTAATCAATTTTTGCGATTCCAACTGCACGACTATGAAGTGGACCTTCAGGAATGAAGGTAAGGTTACCTGAGTAGACAGACTACATTCGCATATGCTGCGAATATCTTGTTGGTAAAACTTGTAATGAAAACTGATTTACCTTCGCTTGAGATCTGACTAAACTTATAAAACAGATCCGTTTTGCTATTTAAGTCCAACAGTTTCCGAATGGCGACACCTGTTGCGATTCCTGTACTCTGGCGCTTCCCAATTTAAGCTCTTGTCTTGGATTCGTTAGACCTTTGTTCTCTACATACCAACCCATGTGAACATGTTTTCCAGAGCGTCCTCAGCAATACAATACCCCGTCTTTACACACCAAAGTCTCACTCATTCCTTCTTCACACGCTCAAGACATTTCTCAAATGGTTTCACACTTCAATGCGTTGTCTTTTCAACTCCTTTGTCAGTCCGATTTCAGACACAAGCATTTTCTATTTTGCATCCATCTTCATCACATCTCATCGCATCGCCATCACATCTAATGCATGTTGCGCTTCCATCGGGAGACGACCATTGTCTTTTGCAATAGCTGCTTCCCACTCTTGGACGACGGCCACACCCCCTTGCCCGAGGGGTGAAGCATAGACTCCAGACTGTCGCAGGGGGACAGTCCTTCATCCCACACTTCATCCTCGGTCTGGATCTCCATCTTCTGGACAATCAGCCGCAGCAGCTGGTGGCTCTTGTCGACGGATGCGCTCAGGTCCTTCATTCTGTCCAACAGAAGGGTTACAGTAAAATGACTGACTGTCGGAAATTCAATGTTTTGGGACATCAAAATTACACTGTCAGCATGGCTGTTGGTTAAGTGGAATTTTTGGATGCGGGTTTCGGGGTAGAGGAAGAGGAATACAGATTTTATCTCTGAAAGCTGACCATGTTCTCGGTCCACAAAGCGATCTCGGCGCTTAAGGGATTGTAATTTCCACAATCCCATTGTATTGTGGCCAATCAGTTTATGTTCGGTTAAAGCGGACATCACTGCCAAATACCACAGCAATTACACATTCTACGTGTGCATGACACACCTCGCTAAAATCCGGATCCAACTGCACTTTTACTAGTGGAGCTTCTAGTGATTTGAGTGAATGAATGTGTGAGGTGGGTCAGACGCCGATTATAATATTACATTTATACGACGTCGTGTCAGCTAATTGAAAGACAAAGTTGATGAAGAAGTGACGGTCGCTAACGGTAGGGCATGCTTTAGCTTTACGCTAACAACTGGTGTCATTACTAATTTCCTGAACATTTCTATATTCAGCAATATTTGTAAACTAAAGCATAATGATCACTGTATTTTCTGGTCGAATTTGTCTGGTTACAGATCGTCGTTGCATGTCAGAAGAACGGCTGTGTGAATCATTTTATGTGAGTGTTGGTAGTGTTTGTTTAAAGCCGCACTCCGCAAACTACCAGCTGTATGACGGCGGTCTGTCAATTATCACATCTGGACCATACAACCCAGTGATTAAAATCATGAGCATCGATCTACGCAATTGAAATACAATGGCATGTGTCAACCAAGTCAGCCAGCATGGGTTGCTGCAGACCAATTCTAACCCGTATTGCTTGCTACAGGTAGAGCAGGTCCCACGAACACCTTGTGTCATCGCCGATTTACAGTGATATATTCGTATAGTTTTCACCACTACGTCACCGTGTACGCCCAATGGAATATGTTTCGTCGGATAATCGATATTTACGTACCTAGTTTTCTGCTTGTAGAGTTCTCCGTAGATGTAGTTGTTGTAACAATTCTGGCCGTCCGCAAAGTCGCTGCTCTCTTCGTCATATGACATTACCATCGACAGCAGCTGTGAAACACAGAATATATACATTCATTCACCTACCAGTATATAACTACTAAACTCTTCAACCAATCTTGAAATTGATATTTATAGGAAATCGGCGCTCGTTAATAAAAAAGTAGCGGCGGATGGGTAGCCTATTGGTTAAAGCGGTCGCTTGTTACGCCGAAGACTCGTGTTCGATTCCCAACATGAGAACAATGTGTGAAACCCATGTCTGGTGTCCCCGCCGTGATGTTGCTGGAATATTGCTAGAAGCGGCGTAAAAACATACTCATGCACTCGCAGAAAAAACGTTTATAAATATGTGGTGGAATTGGCGTTCTCCTTGAAAAAGAGTAAACACGAGGCTACCCAAATAATCCCCGAGATCCACCGATTCGAAAGTCATGGATATGTAGGCGTTGTATTCAGTAATGTTTATCCAGTACATGAAACATACAGACTACAATATATTTCAAACGCCTCTACATAATGGTACGTATTACGTACCTGGGAGACCATGTGCTTGCATTTGTTGGGGTAGATCCTGTGGGTGGTCTTATCAACTTTGGTTAATAGCTTGTTCGGCATTTTTCGTTCCATGTCTGTGTGGAGCTCAACCTGCAGTCACAGAATATGTCGTATATGTCAAGTATACCCAGGGATAGAAAACTTTAGAAAATATTACACAGGTTGGTATTTCAATATAGTAACGGGAAAAGTAACTGTGGCGTAAATGTTATGTTATGAGAAAAAGATAATATGTAGCCATTCGTCGGATTTTTACCTTGTCAAAAACAATAACTATTTTAAGGAAACAGAGTTACATGCATTAAGAGACGGGAGCCGTAACATCTTCGTGTGACAGCATGACGTACCTGCATAGCTAGTCTCTTGAGGCGGGCATTTCTCAGAACAGACTCGATGTCACCGACAGCCAGACCAATCTGTACAATAAAATAGCTTTTGAGTTATAACGTTAACAGATCTTTGGTTAATCCTATATGTAGTATGTGTATATCACTATTCACAGTGTATATGTTAATCAATATAACAGAAGATATGGGATCATTCACAGTGTAACTCTACACGGTGGATTCTACAAGGTGTAGCATGGTGTATTTTTTAATCATTTACCTAATGGTTTAAGGAGAGGGATTCTACAATGTGTAGCTTGGTGTATATATTAATCATTTACCTAATGGTTAAAGGAGAGGGATTCTACAAGGTGTAGCTTGGTGTATATGTTAATCATTTACCTAATGGTTTAAGAAGAGGGATTCTACACGGTGTAGCTTGTTGTATATGTTAATAATTTACCTAATGGTTTAAGAAGAGGGATTCTACACGGTGTAGCTTGTTGTATATGTTAATCATTTACCTAATGGTTTAGGAAGAGGGATGCTACATTGTGTAACTTGGTGTATATGTTAATCATTTACCTAATGGTTTAGGAAGAGGGATTCTCCAAGGTGTAGCTTGGTTAATCATTGTATATGTTAATAATTTACCTAATGGTTTAAGAAGAGGGATTCTACAAGGTGTAGCTTGGTGTATATGTTAATCATTTACCTAATGGTTTAAGAAGAGGGATTCTACAAGGTGTAGCTTGGTGTATATGTTAATCATTTACCTAATGGTTTAAGAAGAGGGATTCTACAAGGTGTAGCTTGGTGTATATGTTATGTTAATCTATTTACCTAATGGTTTAAGAAGAGGGATTCTACACGGTGTAGCTTGGTGTATATGTTAATCATTTACCTAATGGTTTAAGAAGAGGGATTCTACACGGTGTAGCTTGTTGTATATGTTAATCATTTACCTAATGGTTTAAGAAGAGGGATTCTACAAGGTGTAGCTTGGTGTATATGTTAATCATTTACCTAATGGTTTAAGAAGAGGGATTCTACAAGGTGTAGCTTGGTGTATATGTTAATCATTTACCTAATGGTTTAGGAAGAGGGATGCTACATTGTGTAACTTGGTGTATATGTTAATCATTTACCTAATGGTTTAGGAAGAGGGATTCTACATTGTGTAACTTGTTGTATATGTTAATCATTTACCTAATGGTTTAAGAAGAGGGATTCTACAAGGTGTAGCTTGTTGTATATGTTAATCATTTACCTAATGGTTAGGAAGAGGGATGCTACATTGTGTAACTTGGTGTATATGTTAATCATTTACCTAATGGTTTAAGAAGAGGGATTCTACACGGTGTAGCTTGGTGTATATGTTAATCATTTACCTAATGGTTTAAAGAAGAGGGATTCTACACGGTGTAGTTTGTTGTATATGTTAATCAGTTACCTAATGGTTTAAAAAGATTGATTCTACAAGGTGTATATGTTACAAATGTACCAGGAGGTTCATGAGAAGTATAGGCATGAGGAGAACGAACACAGCCAGGAGGAACAACGTCAATGTGCCGAAGTGAAGGGTGTTGCCGAGGTCATCGGTGAAGGGTCTGTTGAAGGATTCCATGTAGTCCATCTCCAACATCATGGTAACCGTCCTCAACAGCGCCAACCCAGGACTAGAATAGGCCCTCGATTCCTGAACATAGAAGATACCAAAAGATTTAACACTGTATTGAAGAAATGGGTGGACCTTTTTCAAATGACCTACAATGAATTTCATGAGGGTATACAGGATTGTCCTTTCCACAGTTTGTGTTCAGATTCTCCACACAGTACTGTAGGGTTGTTACAAATAAGAAATAAAGTCTAAATATTTCTACATTGAAGAGTACAACTAGTTCGTTCGGTTAGGTCACTGTCTAGTTAACATCATGTAAATACAGAATATTCATACAACAAGAGATCTGCCCATCAAATCAAAGTTCCAGGTTATCAAAACACGGTGCAGTTTAACTCCCTAAAGCGAATTATCGAAATCCGTGATCACTCAACTGCGATAGCTCGTTCATTGTCAACGTTGAATATTTATTAGTTCAGCAAAAATACCCTACTTTATCGCATTAAGAGATGACTTGCAAATTTATAATGGACTTTAAAAGCCCCCACAGTTAATTCACTCAAGGTATTCCGTTAAACGTTTATGGGCGCTGTAGGTGGCTTGAGAGAACAATCAGCGAGGATTGACTTCGTTCACGCGTGTTTACGTATGGTAACTGCTAACGGGTCTCTGTTTACACAGGACTGTTTTCAAACTGTAACAAAGTAACAGTATCACATGAGAAATTACCAGTTACTGCCTACACGTATTACACGAAGTATAGGACAGAACGACGTACAAGTGCTTTAAAGCTTAAAGTACAAGAACCAGCGAGTGGCTGGCCACCCATAATAGTCGTTGCAATAGTCAACGGATAATTTCGACCTACAAAAGAGTACTATTTGATCAGTGTATTTATGGATATGAGTTCCATTGTTCAGAACAGATGATCAATTAATCATTTCCTATGTAGAGCCGTGGATGAAAGTACCATAATCGAAAACAAACACGAGTACGTAAATTTGGCGTGACGAGACGTACTAAGCGATATGGTAACTACAGACCATTATGCTCGTTAATTAGAGAACAGATTCAGAGCGATAATGACCTGCTTCAGTTTGATTTCCTTTCAAAGTAAATAGTGATTAAGGGCTTTACTGGATGTACCCGGTTAAATTACTAACACCAAACACAGATGAATTGTTGAGAGTAGATATTAAACAAGGAATAATGTGGACTTCTTTTGTTTATGATGTTGTTCAATAAACAGGTGTCAACTGTTAAATACGGTTCTAGGTTCATTTACATTTATTTTGCTGACGCTAGGATATTGTATTGATAGTTAGGTATTTTTTCGTGTTGGTGAATATATTTCTGTTTGAAAGCACGGGGCAAATGCACGAGATACCGTTTGGCTTGTAGACATATATCAACTATCCATCCGAAAATTGTAGAGTAAACGGTTGTGTTGTGCCTGAAGTTGTATGGGTGAATATACGTAGCAAAAGTACGTTATTTCTCGACGGATGTCAATGACCTGATGCTAGTTCTGTTTGAAGAGTAGGCTTTTTCGGGGCAGCTGACCATATAATTATTTCATTTAAATAATTATCCTTTTCGTCGATTACACTTATCACAAGCGCCTTAGATAATCGCTAGAATCTCTCTGACTACGGACTTTGCAGTGAAGGTGGATGTATCCAATGCTTTTAGCAAGACAAACCGTCTTGAATTGATCTTTAGTAACCCATGCTTTTCGTAAGAGGCGACTAACGGGATCGGGTGGTCAGACTCTCTGACTTGTTTACACATGTCATCGTATCCCAACTGCGTAGATCGATCCTCATGCTGTTGATCTGGATTGTCTGGTCGAGATTCGATTAATTACAGACCGCCGCCATATAGCTGGAATATTGATGAGAGCGGAGTAGAACTAAATTCACTCACTCACTTTTAACAAGACCGGACTACGCATGTGAATAGTTTGAGTGTGAGAATGAGGATGAAGGCGAGGGCGAACATGTGAATGGGAAAGGGCGAGATAAGTGGTACTGTGAGGATGAGGATGAAGATGAGGATGAAGTTAAAGATGGGACGTACCTCATGTTTGAGCAGCATGAAGAAGGCGAGGCCGAAGGCGATGATGAGGATGGAGAAGACACAAATGACCTGCAGGAGAGTCTTCAGGATCTCCAGGAACATCACCACGTAGATGCCGAAGAAGTCAAACCTTAAATTGAAATGGTTTCAAAAATCTACTTTTTGTCATTCTTACATTGTATTTCACTTCGGTAACCTGGAGAATACGACAAGAGTAGCATTGTGAAATGTTTAGAGGAGTTGCAACTGTGACACAATACTTGTGCAGTGTCTTGAAATTCTCTGTACAACGTGCTTCAGTATAACAGGCTTTCCATATGGGCCACATGGAATATTTTATTTAATGTCTTTGGGTCAAAACTGAGAAGCTAGTGGACATTCTCCAAATTAGCATTCCCAATATATTCACATTTGCATCTAATACTCAGAGTCAAATGTTATGTGAATGATGCATCACCTATTCAAATGTTTCTTAACATGAGTAAAATACTTTCTACCATTTGGGAATATTTGTAAGAAATGGTTATTAGAGGAAACAAAACTCGTTAAACGTCAGGGAAAGGATTCAACAGTTAGTTGTTGTCGTCCCTCGTGTGAGTGAGTGTCGTTGTAAGCCTTTTTAGCAATATTCAAGCAGCTCCAAAGCTGGGACACTAAATTGTGTATAACATATTGTACCTTTAACCTTGGTAGAAACCGAACTATAACACTTTAACCACTAGACTAGCGGGGCGGTGGGGTAGCCTAATGGTTAAAGCGTTGGCTCGTCACGCCGAAGACCCAGGTTCGAATCCCCAAATGGGCACAATGTGTGAAGCCCATTTCTGGTGTCCCCCGCCGTGATGTTGCTGGAATATTGCTAAAAGCGGCGTAAAACCAAACTCAGTCAGTCAGTCACTAGACTAGCCCAGTACCGAAACCTTGCTGAAAGACGAATCTTGTCAGTAGACGATGGTGCCATTGCTTACCTCTGCAGAAAGACGAGACAGTTGAACCAGGCCAGGAAGACCGCCAGTGCCCCGGCCTCCCACTGCCAGTGGAAGGAGCGATGGAACAGGAAGGGGGCGATAAACAAGAGGGTGGCAATGTACAGGGACCACTCCAGGAAGTTCTGTCTGTCCATGAAGTAACGCCATTTCTGAAGCACCAGATACATCATCAGGAACTACATGGAACATTATTTACTTCGATATCGTAATTTGAATTTTGAAGTATTCGGCTTTACTGTGTTGGTTCTTTAGTTTTTATTCACCCAGCTGATAAACCGGTTTTCGTGGTTTGGATGAAGGGTTGTAATAATTGGTTAAGAGATCAGGAAACTTTGAATTTGGTCCTGTTAGTTAGAGTATAAAGGCTGAGAAGGCGACAAGAGTAACGGGGTCCCGGGAAAGTGTTCTTGATTAGCTCTAGATTTTGCTATATGGTCGTTACGTTGATTCAAATGGTGACTAGGATTAAGTTGCATATGATTAAGGTGTTGATTTGTGTTGTTGCCTCAGGATTGAGGCTGTGAATGCATTTCATTTTCGCTGCATGACACTCCGTATAGGGTTCTGTCCTTCCAAAGGATTGTGGTGTCTCAGAAATGCATGGGTGTTGTCCGGGAATGAAACTCCCAAACATTTCAGCCAGACCACAGGGCTGGTTAGATGTAATGCTTGCCAGCCCTGGCCAAAACGTACCTGCCCGCAAATATGTTAGGTTTGACAAGCGACGTAGTATATCATCAAATTGGAATTCATCATTTATTTTTACGAGTGAATTAATAATGATTTATTATCCTGAAATATGATGAATAACTACATATACATGTCTAACTTTTAATCCGACCGTGGGGCAGGGGAATTTGAGAATCTGTCAGTCCGTGTTGAAAACTGCCCGTCCCGGGTGGTCGGGCAGGCAGGTATTTCGAACGCTGGTGTTGTAAAGGAGTAGGATGGGACGGGTGATCATTTAAATACTGAATCCTAGTGCATGATTTGAATCATTGTACGACGTCATGCATACACTGAGAGACAATTCTTACCTGGGTTACCATCTGGAATACCTCCTTTATCATATTGATCACAGCGTATATTCCTATCAACCACAGTACCACTGCGTACATTGGTTTGAACTGTTAGGAAAACAAACAAAAGATGCAGAATATAAATCTGTAGGCATAATAACACTAAGATAAATCGCGGGTAGTCTTCGAGGTATAATAAATGTGCTGAATAACATCGTTTATATTCTTTGCAGCGGCAAATATGCATTTCCTTTCAAGATACACAGAATTGCAAAATAATATTGAAGTTTACTTAAAGCAATCCTGCTTGGACGTAATCGAAGGGTCGTAGTTGTGTTTTCATAAATACAGTATGCTGCGGTTAAAATGGACTCGGGACGCTAAGGTGTCGATCGTTTTAGCTTGATATAACCATAGTGGAGACAGTTAGTTTTATCAGACAGTTCATTACAAACGTATTCGTTAAAGGTAAATGTACTGTATTAACAATACTGGTGTATATCTACATCCAACCTGTTCATTGAACTGATGCCTTGCTTGTGCCACTACTCGCACAGGTCAGTTACACTCGACATTAACCACCTCCTTATAGATTTCGCAAATTATCACTAAGTAAGTAAGTTTAGTTTTACGCTGCTTTTAGCAATATTCCAGCAATATCACGGCATAATGGGCATCACACATTGTACTCATGCGGGGAATCGAACTCGGGCCTTCGGCATGACGAGCAAACGCTTTAATCACTAGGCTACCCCACCGCTCCGTATCACTGAGAGTTTACTACTGACAGAGTTAAATATCACTGTTGTGACACAATAACCACGTACCCGGTAGCCGCCTTTGCTGTTCCCTTTCAGCATCTCCATCGTGTTGTTGTCAATGAGGCCGGCGTCGTGATGCTGAAGTGAGTCATGGTTGACTATGAAGGTTGTTAGTAGGGCCAGATAGGCGATATAGATAAACAGGTAGGCAGAGTATATCCACTTCCCATAATAGTTCCTGTAAACGTATAAAAGAAGTATGTATATTTTTTCGAATCCCGGTTAATACGATTACTTTTCTAGTTTTGTCAGCACCCACATGCTTGCTCAGCACCACCCACATCATTACGCTGTCGACCCGTGACATAACTGGACTAGTGCTCAAAGCAGCACTAAACACATCATTTGGTGTGAGTTTGATGAGAAATGTTGGTGTTGAATGAATATATCTATTCCAGCAATTTGATGGTGAGGATGAATAAACCACGAATCATTGACGTGGGAAACGCAAATGTTATCTGAGTTATAACTTGTAAATACTTGAACATCAATATATTCTGTGCAGTTGTTATTTACCATTTCATCTGCAGGAAGTTGACACAGACTGAGTGCGACAGACAATCAACCCGTCCGTTCCTCACCATCGCCTGAAACAGTAGTAAAAGGTACATGTAGATTATTCTGTGGACTGTACAGGTGTTCTATCTGGGTGTCTAGGGATCGGCGTGAAAGGCATTACCTCAGTGTATTCAGAAAGCGTTCTCCCATGATGTCAAGAAACTATCATGATGTGTCCTACCCGAATCAGAAATATGCTACCAAATGTCTTCAAACTGAAAGGGCCCTAATGGGATGTCTTCAAACAGAAAGGGTGCTACTCTGGTGTCTTCAAACAGAAACAGTCATACCCGGATTTCTTTAAACTGAAAGGTGCTAACCGGAAGAATTCAGCAGAAACATTGGTCCTAGGTTGTCTTTAAACAGTAGGGGTGCACCCAAAGTTCAATGAAAGATTCACATTCAAGAGTCTTTGCAGGTGCCTTATTAACTGTTTTAACACTAAGATTTATAAGGAGTTTACAATTTTGGTACGTAAAGTGAACGCCTTTTTTCATGATTACAGTCATTTAATGATATTCGTAATTATACAGGGTACAGGATTGAAGTGACTGGGGTATGATCCGAGTAGCCCTCACTTACGTTAAGTTGTGGCATAGGCTCAAACTCCTCTCCCATCTTCTTCTTCAGCAACATGAAGCTGGCCGAACAACGCAGGTACTTGAAGTTGTAGTCTATCTGGAATAATCGAAGTAGAATTGTTTATGTATCGTCCGGGTCTGTTCTAAATAATCACGCTGAGGTTCAACAGAACAGTCGAGAACAGCTGCACGATTCCCTATGCGGAGGTGGGCAATATTCGCTCATCCCTACATATTTTAGCTCCGAGATTAAAGTACACGATAGCTGCAGGGGGAGTCGCTATATTGCCATGACAAAATATAGTCCCTTGTTTGAAGCATTGTTTATGGAGTCATCTTGATATTTCGTTTATCGAATCTTTGTAGGTATCTACATGTGCACCTACATAATAATCTTTGCTTCGTTTGTCGTGGTTGGACGTAGTCTGACACCTATCTAGCACGGCCTGAAACAATAAGGACAGAAGATTATGCTTTTTATAATGTTTTTACTTAGATGCAAAAGAATGTTGAATAAATTGCACTGAAAATAGCAACAGGATTACCATTACAACTTCTTTCAGTATTTGTCAGGACCCGTGAAGATCCGGGTTAGAACTGATCTTCAGTAACCAATGCTTGTCGTAAGAGGCTACTAACGGGATCGGATGGTCAGGCTCGCTGACTTGGTTGACACGTGTCATCGTATCCCAACTGCGCAGATCAGTGCTCATGATGTTGATTACTGGATTGTCTGGTCCAGACTCGGTTATTTAAATACCGTCTCCATATACCTGGAATATTGCTGAGAGCGGCGTAAACCTAAACGCACTCAGTAAATGTCGGACTAAAAAGTTATATCTTATGCTCTGGCTGTACCTACCATGCAGACCTCCGGCATTTGCTGGATGAGCCCAATCATTGGGCCGCAGAACACGTTGGAACAAATGTCCATTGCGTCTTCCCATCTGTAGAGAGTAGAATAATAATACAAGACACATTCGGAAGTGTGATACATATACAGACGTTTAAGCCAATACATGTTCTGGGCCCCGTTCCTCAAAGCGATCGTAACCCTAAGATGATCGTAACTCCCATACTTTAACATAGACTTACGACAGTCGTAGCGCTACGATCGCTTTGAGGAACAGGGCCCTGATTTTGGGTAAGTAAGATACGGGTAAGATTGGTCTTCAGCAAAACATTTGCGTTGATCGATTCTTATGATATCGATCACTGGAGTGTCTGGTTGAGACTCAAGGTTTTACATAGCTCCGTTTTGTAGTGGAATAATGCTTAGAATTGAGCAATTAGAAACAAACAAATTTACAAACATTGCAAATAACAAACAAACCTGTCATGACCAACAATGCCAATTGCAACTTCGGATTTTCCTTGTTCAATGGCGTGGTCAAAGAATGACCTTCCATTGGTGTTTTTGCTGAACTCTGCTCCCATGGTCATCAGAAGGGTCACCGCGTTCGTGTTGCCGTTCAGAGCTGCCACGTGCAAGGCCGTGTCCTGTCAGATAGACAGTATAACTTCCTTAACTCACATTCATTGGTTATCTAGTGACATGTGGACTCAGCACAGTTTTGTTACCTATGGGTTATGGATGGACAACTATGATCTTCTCTGAGAGCCTGCTGTCTCCACTAGTACACAGATTTAACTACCGAAACCAAATTTGTCTCAACAGTAACTGACGCAATCTTTAACTTAATCTCATTTCTGAGATGCATTCAAATGTATACTTTGATCGTTCAAAGAAATGTGTTTGGTTTGCCATGATCATATTCCTCAGGAAGTATCATGTGTGCCTACAATGGCGACATTCCTTTAGGCTAGGATCACAACTGAGCTAGTGAGTTTGGTTCAACCCAAGTTTGAACAGTATTTCAGTTCCAAAAAAGATCGGCTTGTGGTGGTAGTAAAACCTATTGCAGACTTTACACTGTTACCATTTTGTAGCATGATGCCGACAAACCTTAAATATGCCACACTGGGGTTCGATCCCACGATCATAGGTTTCTGGCGAATTATTGCGCCTTTGACATCAGAGCCACTGGTTCCTCCATAAGTTCAAATAGACCTTACAAAAACTTGACGTGACGTTGAATTGACGTCCACACTTACTCCGCGTACGTTGGTGACGTCGAGCAGGTTGGCGTGCACACCCAGTAGTAGCCTCATGCACTGTGTGTAGCCGTTTGACGACGCTAGGTGGAGTGGCGTGTTGCTATCCCTGTCTCTGAAACATTGGGTGATAATGTGAGAAATATTTAACGGTATAGATTTATCACAGAAGCTGACATCGTTACTCACAGGTTTCGCCCAGAGGGGGACACGTCGTCGATTCAGGCATGAGTGAATACATATGCAATCAGAACCATTTATCTAAGGTGTGCAAATTTACTTTCGTGGGCATATATATAACTTCCTGGATAGGGCCTCAGACGTTTAACAGTTTAGTGAAACTCACAAATAAGCAATGTTGATGACAAACATAACCAAAGCCTTGCTTTCGATCTTATGGATTTTTGTCCGTCATTTAGATATAAATTCCCTTTATCATGCGTGTTCCTTGAGGTTTTAAATGACTTAATCATATTTTCCCTTAATCTAGGGTCCTAAAACTTCCAGCTTACATATATCACAATTCCCCATATCGTTCGTTCCAAATAATTAAAAATATTAATTCTCTTATATCACGCTTATATACTGCCCGTCGCTTACAAAAACCACCGATACATAGATACACATAGTCTCATGCACATACAGACGTTCATAAGCACATATACACTGTCAGAGGCACATTGACTCAAACACATGCCCAAAACAGACACATGCAGACACACAGGCGCAGACACACATGCACTGTGGCACTGTCTTACGGGATAGGATGTAACAGATTAGGGGAGGGTTTCCACGAGGCTTATATTTACCTAGCTGCCACCGCCCCTTTCTGTAGAAGCAGAGTCACCACCTTGACGTTTCCGTTGAGGGCGCCAAGATGGAGGGCGGTACGGCCATCACCGTCAGTCTCGTTGATGATGTTGGGCCCGTTCTCGCTCTCCAACAGTCGCTTACAAGTGTTGAAACGTCCGTATCTGAAAATAGGGTAAACCATATATAATCGATATGTTTGATACTCAGTATGGGAAAGTTATCTACATGTAGTTAAGGGACCATGTATTAAGCATGAACTACACACGTTTGAATGTTTGATGTTTCCCTCTTGATGTATGCCAAACAAACTACACAGGTGATTTCATTTGGATGGATTAAATTCATAATAAGTGAATGGGGTGTAATGGAAGTACACCACGACGCTTTGCAGATGTCATGGTAACCGATGACCTAAACAATAAAATACATGACTACTTTCTCTGCCACTGAACCTGGGTAGACATGAATATCACACTGGTTAATGCTGTTTGTAAAATGAAAAATGAAAAAGATGGAATAATGATGTTGGATGATAGATATGAATCTTATCCGAGTGTCTTTCGATATCAGATACATCAATACTTATTGATGAAAAGATTCGGACAGATTTTCTATTTTAATGTAAGCAGTCTCTCATAAGGACAGAAGCTTACCTTGCAGCGAAATGGAAAGGAGATTGTTTCATGTTATTCTTGGGACTGATGACGGCTCCCATCTTCAGGAGGTCGTCTATGGCCAACAGGTGCCCCTCCTTGGACGCATAGTGAAGAGGTGTGCATCCAAAGTCATCCTTCTCGTTTAGGTAATGCTGTATACCCTGTGGAATAACCATTTAGTACCAGTATATATATCGACACCATTAACCATAGTAACGGTCATCTTATTTTGGATCTGGTTAAGATTCCATGATAAACACAGCCCCCTACCTGCAAAATACTGCAACCGAACTCTTTCAGCTTGCCACCGAATTTGACAGCAAGATGCATGAAGTTCCTGTTGTTGTGATCTTTGGCCTTGATGTCTGCTTTGTTGCTTAGGAGGCACGTGACTGTCTCAAAGCCTCCTTTTGAAGCAGCCAATAGAAGAGGAGTTCTTTCTTGGATGTCCTTTGCATCCACATCAGCGCCCTGAGCGATTAAATAATAACACGTCTTTCATAATAGCAATATCCATACAGAAATACAAATCTTGTCAAAGACGTTTGCATAATAGATCCAATGATAAATGACTTCTCTTCTCACACAGGTTTATTTGATTTTGTTAGAAGTTCTTGAAAGGCACGTTTTATGGGTAACAACTTTTTTCATTTTTGATTACGCTGTGAATGATGAAGGAGGTGAGGTGATGTGAAATTTGGTTTAACGTCGTGCTTGAGAATATTTCGCTCATATGACGACGTGCATGCGTGTGTATGTGTATGTGCGGCTGCTTGTACTAGCCCAGACTTAAGCTGGTTTAATAGTGCTAGCCCAATGAGATACCATGCCGCAGTGAAGCATGAATACCCCACTCAGACACATTATACTGACTCCGAGCCGACCAGTCCTTGTTGTACCCATTAATGCCGAGCGCCAGACAGGGACCAACAAGTACCATATTTTAACGTCTTTTGGTATGACGCGGTCGGGGATCGAACCCGCGACCTTCCGTTCTCCGGGCGGACGCTCTAACCACTACACCACGGAGGCGGTGAATGATGAAGGAGCAAGAATTGGTTATTCATAGTGTTATCCATTTGTTTATCATGCTATACATTTCCGACACTTTGAATGATAGACAAATCTTTGAAGTAGTTCACTCACCTTCTCAATGAGGAATTCCACGACCGGTACATGGTTGAAGATGGCTGCCCTGTGTAATGGCGTCATGTTCTGGACGTCGGTGGTGAAGATGGCGGAGAGGAAGTTGTCTGTCTGCATGTCATGCATCGTACGAATCATCTCCAGGTTCCCCTGGGCGCACGCAAAGTGAAGGGGGGTCGACTTGTCATCCTTGAGATGAAATTAAACAAATTGAATTTAACACTTGAATGTGGCCGAAACTTTGCATCGACATTGGCAGCTATGTCTTTGTTGAATATTGCGGCGTCAAGCTACATTCATCCACACACAATATCTGGTATTAAAATTATGAGAATATTACAATATTTCTGTAAACTTAAAATGATATGGTAAGTAGTTGTAAATTCATAATGGAAATTATTATATATACGTCCGATTTAAAGGAAATGATCTCGATTCCCTGAATTACCTTAACACAGAATCAAATGAAAAATGTCATATTGTCTTCATGCCCGTATACAGTACCTGTTGAGCGTTGACAGGCGCTCCTGCTTTAAGACAGACCTCAACGACCTTGACAGCAGATAAAAGGTTCAATGTATTAACAAGCATATCTATTACATTACTGTACACATTCAACAATTGCTTTGCCGGAAAAGCGTATTTGCATATTGTAACACAAGAAGCATATGTCACGAGGGTACATGTTACGATACAAGCAAAATCAAATAGTCCGTATTCCAGCATACTACATCTCATCTAAATGGGTGTGTATTTACACCGCTCTAAACATCATTTCAGCAAATTTCACGATAGAGACACAAGAATAAGGGTTCACTGTCAGAATGTGAGGAATCGAACCCGATCGTTTACGTGATGATCAAACGCTTTAACCACTAGGCTACACATCCACTACGTATAGTTTATAAAACAAATGAAAACATATTATATAGTCCTGTGTAATTCATATATTTTAGCAATATTTATCACAATATAAATCTGCTACTGATTGCCATACAATAACACGTCAACATCCTGGAATGAATGAATATATATGGCCTACAATATGGATCGGTCATACTGAGTAAGGAACTTAACTGAGAATGTGTCTTCACTGTGTGTCAGTTTGGCCAAGAATTAAACAGTGAAACCTCTTACCTTGAGATCACCGCCATGGACAGCAGAGTGAAGCGGCATGTTGTTTTCCATGTCCTTAAAGGACAGTACGTCCTCTCTTTTGTAACCATTCTTTATTCCTAGGGTGAGGACATTGAGTTTCAATATAATAAAAAACGTAAAACTACCAGGGACCTTACAGGCCAGATGTTACAGGCATAGTTTCACTTCATTAACAGCAGGTACTTTTGTTACTACAATGTTGATACGCTTCGAAGAATTTATTTTTCAAGAATTGCTGGAAAACCTCAACTGTCATTATGTGTTCATACCTTCATACATACAAGGATATTTCTACATTAAACTTCGTTTAGGAATATATTCTTTTCTTTGTCATATGATGTTTAAATTAGACCAATTTAAATAAAGAACAACAAATTCGAATTTGCAGTCGTACTTTTGAAGATCAGGGTGCAGCTGTAGAAAACGATCTTAGCGGTAAGGTGATACTAATCCCCATACCTTTACACGGACTGACATTAGTTACGGTTGCATTATACAACGGTAGCCTGGCGGTGCCAGTGGCGCAATAGGTCCATGCATCGCCCTTCGGGGGCTCACATTATTAATACATTGTTATACCCGAACACATCAATTCCACGAGAGTAGAGAGAGTAGCATCCAGAGATTCAGACTCGGTGAACTGATGCACTGCAGCTACTCACCTGCCTGGATGAGGACCTCCAGGGTTTCAGCGGACGCAGACTTTGCTGCCAAGTGGATGGGGTAGAAACCAAAGTTGCATTTCATGCACACCTTAGCGTTGTAATCCAGCTGAAGGAGAAAGTCCTAACATTTACACTTCCGACAAAATACCGGAACTAATGATTTGAATGTGGCTATCCTTGATGTGCCTGTTTATAATACCCTGGCGTTCTATTCCAGCTGAAGGAGAAAGTGCGAACATATACACAACCGACAAAATAAGGTAACTATTGATATGAATGTGGCTATTCCTGATGTGTACATGTATAACACCCTGGAGTGCCGTCTGAACACAACATCTCATCACGATGAAATTTCACATCTTGCATGAGTAGCATTAAGCGAAAAGAAGCAAAAGTGAGTGAGAATAAAATGAGAACTTGCAATCAATAATGCAACTGAACTAATCGCTCACTTAAAATGCCTCTGGAATATTGTCTCAATAAACCGACAAAAGGCAAAGTCTAAGTATGTCATGTTGGGCGAATCAAAATGTGTCGTTTTTCGACTGTGGAATAGTACTGTCAAAAGGGTAGGGATGCAAAAAGACTTTGGTTTGGAAGACCTGAAAACAACTCATACACAACACCTTCTCATGACATTAATTACGCAACGTACATATAATTAAAATGTCTTCATTTTATTAACGGAAACTCTGTACATTACCGTTAAGGCGAATGTCAACACTTGCCATTAAACACGACGTTATGCAGCTCGAATAAAATCAAGGCGTCCTGTGGACACACACAGGCAAATATATGGCTATGTTTGTCTAATAATCTTAACTACGACGTTTAACCCCATTTCACCTTATCTCACACAAACGAACACCATTCTGTTTCTTGCCTTATATGTGGCATAGTAATAATACAAGAATATATTCAACACACGACATGGTTATTTGATACGTATAAGTCTTATACTGACCAGCAATCTGGCGCAGGCGTCTTGGTTCTTGAGGGCACATAAGTGAAGAGCTGTGACACCGTCTTCACCTCTTTGGTTCACGTTCAGGACGTCGTGTTTTAGCAACGCCTGTGGAGGCAATGTCAGTGTTCATTCCATACATTAAAACAAACACAATAGCACACAGTCCGTGGCTTATTTCCTCAGTTTAACAGGACGGCTTCAAAATCATTTTGAGCTTTCGGAGGCATATTTTGCGAAAAAAAACTGTTGAACTTAACGTTACGTTCATAAAGTAATGATAAAAACTGAAAAATGCGTGTGGGTTCATGAAAGTTTCATATTTTGCTAAGTCTTCATGAATGGAACTCACTTTCCTGAACCTTGTGATTACTTTAGATGGTGGTCATGTGCAAGTTGTATACCGTTTTAGGAGTTGCATTCAAGATGATCTGACGTCACGCTACTAGAAAAAGGTCCTCATCAACCAATGAAACAGTGATGCTGGGATAATGGTCTCATATATCTGCCGCAGCAGCCAGTGGACTCACCTCCAGCGACTTGTAGAGTCCTCCATCTGCCGCTACATGCATCGGAGGCATAGACTTGCTGTTCATGATGGTGGTGTCGGCTCCAGCATCCACCAGGAAGTCAATACTTTCCACCTGCTCAATCTCCACGGCGAGATGTAGGGCTGTGTTGCCGGAGTTGTCCTTAATGTTGAGGTCTGAAGAATATAGTCGTTGTTTTGTTTACCATTAATGGTCATGACAAAATGTCAACTGTTTATATGTTCCAGTGAGTGTGTAAGATGACTGAAATTATGTTTGTTGGTTGGTTGGTTGATTAACGCGGCACTCAGCAATATTTCAACTACATGTCTGTAAATACTCGAGTCTGGACCAAACAATCCATGATGACCTTCAATCTACACAATTGGGATACGATGACATGTGTCAACCAAGTCAGCGAGCCTGACCACCCGATGACGTTAGTCGCCTCTTACGACAGACTTGGTTGCTGATCACTAATTCTAACCCGGGTCTAAAATTGACACTAAAATTGAGACAAGGTCAAATCTAAAATAGCTTTAAAAATTTGGCTGTTTATTTTCTTTGATTCTAGACCAGGGCGATGTTATTAAGCCCGTTTTATAATCATATAATGTTTGGTCAATTTTGTCAAATGAATGGACAGGCTTTCAGCCAAATTGTAGAATGTTTGAAATACTTAGGCGTTAAGTAAGCTACCCCTGCAATGGGTGTATTCCACACGGTGAATCTAACATACATAACGCTATTTTAAGATATGATGAGTAAGTGAGTTTTGTTTTACGCCACTTTTAGCAATATTCCAGCAATTCCACGGCATGGAACGCAAGAAATGCACTTCAAACATTTTACCTATGTAGGGAATCGAACCCGGGTTTTCGGCGTGACGAGCAATGCTTTAACCACTAGACTACCCCACCGCCCCGACGAGTGCTTTAACGTCGATTGACGTGTTTAGTCATATCATTACTTATCAACAAACTTTGGGACGAATGCCTGAATAGATACAGGTCTTCGACACAGTGAACGAATCTAGGTTTGTGCTAATGAACCTAAAAACATCATCAGGAATAACCGAGATTCGAACACATGATCACAAGTTTCTTGCACGCCAAAGCAAATTGTGTGGCCTTTACAGTAATGACCTAATAAGTGTAATGAAGATATGCCCTCGTATCAAGCATGTTGTATTAAGATATTTTGCAGTCCGACATTGCTGTCCTCCGTGTTTATCTGATAGATATATCAACGTGGATGATTACGGTAAGTAGAATCTAAATCACATTATTTCCAGACAACGACACAGTGCGACTGCAGTGCCACTCATTAAACGGTTTTATATCACGTACATACATCCATAACAGTAAACTATCAGCTGCGATCAGTGTCAACCATGTACATCAGAATGTAATCTTACCTCCTCCATGTTTCTTTATGAAGTCTAGTATCTGTATGCGACCTTTGATCGCCGCCTGGTGGATGGGGGCTCTCCCTTTGGAGTCCTGTACACTGAGTCTAGATGAGTCTAGATTGTAGATTCGTTCAAACTCCTTGATGTTACCGCTACTGGCAACCTGAAACAGATATTGACAACTGAGTCACAATCCTCCTTTTAATAATAATAATAAATAATAATGTGGGTATTTATATAGCGCTACATCCAGGTACTAATACCCGCTCATGTAGCTACAATACTGTAGGAGAAAAGAAAATAGGTAAAACTATTTACAGAGAGACAATTGAACATAGAAAGTCTAGTAATGGGCAAGACGAAAAAAGTGGGTTTTTTAGAGACGATTTAAATGTGTCCAAAGATTCAGCATTCTTGATGTGAGTGGGCAAGTTGTTCCAGAGACTGGCGGCTGCGTGTTGGAATGATCTTTTCCCATAGGGTGAGAGTCGAACTTTAGGAATGACAAGTAGCTGGTGATTTTGGGATCGTAATGGTCGGGTTGGAATGTACTGACACAGAAGACTGGAGAGGTATTCAGGTGTTTGTCCATGTAGAGCTTTGAAAGTGATATATAGAATCTTGAAGTTAATCCGGAATTTGACAGGCAACCAGTGTAGAGACATCAGAGAAGGTGTGATGAGAAGAATAACTTTGGATTTTTCAAAAGAATTTCATCCTGAGTATATACTCATGAAAACAGCATAATGAATTTTGTAAATATTTTTTGACCGAGACTGGACACATTTCTGAGAGTTTCTGCACAAATGGGTTTCCAGAACTAAACCTGGGCGTGTTATAGGTAGGTGATAATCAACCCGATCCTGGTTAATGAGGTTTCATATCAAGCACTTAGCATTGTTCACTTTTCGACGTGTTATTAATAATTATGTGTGTGTTATTTTGCATGTGTGTATGTGACAATACTAAGTACATTTCAAATGTAATGAAACACATATGGTTTGGTGCATACCAATACACACAACGATACCATGTCGCTGCATCATTTAGTATGGAGCGTCTATTCTCATATGCAGATGTACATACACTTCTGGGATAGATGTATTATATATGATAACAAAAGGTTAAACTGAATCATATTGGAACAATAGTATTATGCACTGAAGATACAAGACGGTATCTTCATTATTGTAGCATACACATAGTAATGAGTAATGAAAAATTCATACCTTATTTCAATATATCAGGTCGGAAAATGAGACATGAATGTTTAACCATCTTCCCACCTTCATCTTTCATCATAACGTACCAGGTCTAAATCGTTTTAAATATTTTGATGATGTCTTTCATATCCCAAAATTAAGACTTTGTTCAGGTTCGTAAATAACTTCTGAATTCAAGTAAAAAGCTTTCATAAGACATCCTCCAGCATCTGTGGCAAAATGTAATTCTATTTGTACCATATGTGTATATTTTCATGTGAACAAATCACACGGCAGCTTGCATATGTTCGTGATGGGCGCCACTAGTGGAACACGATACGCCCGCCATTGCCAAACGCGTATAATTACTGTTTTATACAGAACAATAAACACAAGCTTATGCTGTTTACAGTGGACCCTGTGTTTAGCAAGGATTTCTTATGAATATATAGAAAGGCTTTTGTTGGTTTTATTCATAGATCCAATATCTTGAACTTCTCTGTAAGTCCGAATGAAAACAAAAAAACAACACATTGCTACTTTCTCAAATGCTCTTATGACATCCGCACAAGTCCAAAACAAAAGCAATATCTGACGTTTTTACAGAATGTATATTAAATGGATATTCCACATTCAACATAAGCTATAGGATTTGGTGTCCGGAAAGTACCATATACAAATAAGTCATGCCACCTCTCTGCTGATACTCCAATAATATGGATTAAAAAACAAGTGGACTAAGTATATAATCCTGACTAAAACTAAAATGAAACCAGGGGCATGGGGTAGCCTAATGATTAAAACGTCCGCTCGTGACGCTAAAGACCCGGGTTCGATTCCCCACATGGGTTCACTGGTGTCCCCCGCCGTGATATTGCTGGACTGACTGACTGACTGAGTGTGGTTTTACGCCGTTTTTAGCAATATTCCAGCAATATCACCGCGGGGGACACCAGAAATGGGTTTCACAAATTGTAGCCATGTGGGGAATCGAACCCGGGCCTTCGGCGTGACGAGCGAACGCTTTAACCACTAGGCTACCCCACCGCCCGATATTGCTGGAATATTGCTAAAAGCGGCGTAAACCATACTCACTCACTCCCCCCAAAATGAAAACCAGGAGTAGTGTAAGGATACAGCGTCTTACACTGACATTAGAGACCGATAACAAACACTGCTATTATTCCCCATTTTATAAATATTAGAATCTATGGTAAAAAATGTCACATGATATCTCCGTTCTTATAAACAGAAATTTCTGTGTTATTCTTTCAAAATGCATACATGATCTGTGGTAGAGTATTCTCCTCCGAAGACAAAATGTTGTTTTATATCGCAAATTTGCCCATTGAAGAATTCAGGTACAATTCTAGTGTATATGGTGATATTCTCCTGTGGTTGTCGGGTTTTGACCGTCCACCGTGTGACGTTAGGAAATAATTAATGCTTCGGTCCTCGCATCAGGAAAAACACAGCGTGTTAAACATCGCTAATAAAGGCCACGCCAAAGGCTTAGGAACCGTACCATGTCAATAACTCCACGATTTGTTCCTGTCGACGTTTTTCAGATAATGAATAGCCGAATGAAGTGCTCTGTCAGTGATAAATGACTAAAGAATACGACGGTTGACTGATAAGTTCAAAGCCTTACGGAGAAATAATAGCATAGTAATACTATAACTGAAACATTTTGTTGTGGACATTACATGATATCCCAGAGATATGTGCACGTAATCTTGAGTCAACTGTGCGAACCTTTCCGCAATAAAATATACAGGGGGTGGATGTGATCTTTGAAAAATAAACAAACTCGGCCAAGTACGGGAAGATGGTTGTTTGGACTCATATATTATCCATATAATCAATCGTTACAAGAACTAGCTAAGTCATTATCAATCAGCTCTCGTATATCCGTTACAGCTAATTGGTTTTCATGAGAAATATTTTGACAGTCAGTGTTTGGTTTGTTACATCCTGATATCACGTCAATATCGACCATGTTTCTTTCTACAGGAAATACGTCTGATTTCTTTCAAAACTGTTGACGAACCAGTCGCTTCTACTGTCAGTCTTCAACTTTTATAGTTTGAGTTACATGTCTATTCTTGTGTATATGTTTCTCATTAGACAAGACAATGTGTCCATGCAACCACGTGCAGCATTGATCCCACGATCATGGCAAGTGGTACGCATTATTAGTTTCACCTCGGACCGCAACAAATGACATTGTAATAGTGTTGATAACGGTACCACTTCACAATCCATTGTTGCATGTTTGATGTCCACTTCACACAGCTACGGTTCTGAGTAAGGTGTGTAACAACATGTCCGGTACCTGGATCACCTTAAAGGCTGAGGTCAGCTTCAATCAAACATCGCTAAATGTTGCATAAACTGCGCAGATTATATTTGTCGGAACAATCGTGGCGTTGCCCTGCAATTACGGAAATCAGCAGACACAAATAACAACTTGTTGCCCGATGCTATCCTTTTCAGAGAGTTTTCACAGCTTCTTAATGGATCGGATGGTGCCTTGTAGACTTAGTTGATAGCCTGTCGTAGTACGCCGATGATGTAGATCATTGCTCATGATGTTAATCACTGGTTTGTTTGGTCCTCGATCACCCGTGAAGATCCGGTTAGAATATTGATCTTCAGTAACCCATGCTTGTTGTAAGAGGCGATTAACGGGATCGGATGGTCAGACTCGCTGACATGGTTGACACATGTCATAGGTTCCCATTTGCGCAGATCGATGCTCATGCTGTTGATCACTGGATTGTCTGGTCCAGACTCGATTATTTACAGACCGCCGCCATATGGGTGTAATATTGCCGAGTGCGGCGTAAAACTAAACTCACTCACTCACTTGGTTCTCGATTGTTTATCGGTCGTCATATGATGGTATTATTACTAAATAATGCAATCGGCAAGCCATAGCATGATGTTCAGCAATCCATTTACATAGTTATCACCATCATCTTCCCTTTACGCACTAAGGAATCTGTTTCGGTAGAAAATCGAGACTTATTATTATCTGGCTCTGACTTTTCTATCAACGTTATGTGAAAAGTATAAAACCACCTTACAATTAAATAATTATGTTGTTATAATAACGCTGTATATGATACATATAACGGAATGGCATTTGGTCCACAAATATGTATCAGTACAAAAAATACCACAACGATAGAAACCGTGTTGTACTAAGGAACTTCATTGTCCACATATGTTCCAATATACACGTCCGTACAATGTTATCATACCACTATAAGCAAAACGCCCATACAGAACGTTTTTTGTTGGATTCGCACCCTGTTCAGATATAAACATACTACACCTACATGGCACCTTGGTAAGATTACAATTACCTTTAGGGTTAGCACCCTGCTAAGATTTTAAGTAAGAGAAAAACATATGGAACCTAAGTTGGCACCCTGGTAAGGGACACTTATAAGGCACCAATATAAAACACTTCTGGGATTGGTATCCAGGCAATATAAAAGCACCGGCCACCTGCGGAAAAGGCACCATGGTAAAATGAAACATAAGGAAACCACAGATCATACGTGATTGGCTGGTACTATCGTAAGCTTAAAACACATGACAACTTTGTTGGAACCCTGGGCTCCTACAAAACGTACGTGTGACTTTGGAATCCTGTAGAGATAAAAAAAAGATGCAAAATAACATATGCTATAGCTATACACGGAAACTGCTTGTTAGGTAAGTACCCGGGTATGAAAACATATTTTGCACCGCGGACAGAAATTACTGTTGGGATTGGCAAGTCTGGAATCTAGTAAGCATGTCAATACCTGGTATTCTCCTTAGTGATAAACACATACGGGCACCTACGGAAATTACGAGTAGACTCAGCTTCCTGTTAAGATAAACGAATACGGTCACCTATTGACAGTACGTGTAGAGTCAGTACCCTGGTATAATAAACGCATACGGCCACTTGCAGAAAGTACTTGTAGACTCAGTAACCTTGCAAGAAAAACGGAATAAGATCAACTACAGAAATTACGTGAAGAGTCAGTACCAGGGTAAGAAAAACGCATGAGGTCACCTACAGGAATTACGTGTAGAGTCAGTACCAGGGTAAGATAAACGCATGAGGTCACCTACAGGAATTACGTGTAGTGCCAGTACCAGGGTAAGATAAACGCATGAGGTCACCCACAGGAATTACGTGTAGAATGCGCACCCTTGTATTATAATCGCATACGGACACCTACAGAGATTAGGTGTCAAATGTGTATCCTGGCACGATAAACGCATGGTCACCTTTAGAAATACTTGTAGACTCAGTACCCTGGTAAACTAAACGCATACGGTCACGTACAGAAAGTACTTGTAGAGTCAGTACTTTGGTTAGATAAACGCATGAGGTCACCCACAGAAATTGGTTGTAGAGTCAGTACCAGGGTAAGATAAACACATACGGTCACCCACTGAAAGTAATTGTAACGTAGAGGCAGTACCCTGGTACAATAAACGCATACGGCCACTTACAGAAAGTACTTGTAGACTCAGTAACCTTGCAAGAAAAACGGAATAAGATCAACACAGAAATTACGTGTAGAGCCAGTACCAGGGTAAAATAAACGCATACGGTCACCTACAGAAAGTTCGTGTAGAGTCAGTACTTTGGTTAGATAAATGCATGAGGTCACCCACAAATATTAGTTGTAGAGTCAGTACCCGGGTAAGATAAACGCATACGGTCACCTACAGAAATTACTTGTGGGCACAGTACCCTCCTAAGGAATGCGCATAAGTTCTCCTATAGAAATTACTAGCAGAGTACTTACACTCGTAACATAAATGCATACGGTCACCTACAGAAATTGTAGCGCCACTGGTGAAAATATATACCTTGCAGGTCATTCAATTAAATAAACAAACGAAATTATGAGAAAAAGATAGTACACTTACTTCCAATGCCGTGATTGTGGCGAGGGATGTTTGACTCCCGAACTGAGAGCTATTGTCCTTCCCATCGACCACCAGACCATGTCCTGTGGCCATCATATAGCTAGGTCTCCTACACTGACCACACGTCGGTTTGGGGGTAGGTAGGGACTCCAGGGGGTGGGGACTCACATCTGCTAGACGATGTTCTAATCCTAACCATCGTCTCCCAGTTTTCAATAATTCAGCTGTGAACGGCATGCTGTCTAGATCACAATCTGCCTAAAGTTGAAGTCCCAAGGCACACTGCCCTCAGAATGATGCTCTTTAACGTCGTGATACAATTTTATGTTACACTGATAATAAGGCAGTTATTCCGTAGCGATCACGTATCAATCAGAAGTTCCAGAGCTGAGTGATAACTCCGTACAACGAAACGATGTCTGATGATATGTGATCTTACTTTGATCAGTTCCAGCTGAAAGCTTCGATATCCCAAAAAATGTTTACGTCATCCTCCATGGTTCTTCCTCTGGCGCACCCTCCGGTAAAACGATTGTGCCACCAAGCAAACACATTGGTATTGGTTGTATAAGTCATGTGATCAAACGAATAGCTAAATAACGGGAAATCGATACTCAACACCAATCCACTAATACAAATCAATGTTCTAGATCATACGGTGATGAAAACTCGTCGATTAAGGACATACATTGTCGCTATCTACTGACAGGAACGGCACACAATAAATACAACAAAGGTAATACCTAATGTTTGACAAGTTGTTTGGTGTTAGTCTCCGGCAGCGCAAACGCGTGTACTAAATGCACCACTGATTCTGTTAACCCGTACTTGTCCATCGTGATTGCTGGTGTTTATTTCGATTTGGATTATCAACATCTGGCTGGCAGTTTGCTTAATTAATAGACTACTTTCATGAGACATTGGAGGGACGTTATATGGTATTGGGGATAATATATAGATTCTAGAAAACAGAAAATCAATCAGGCAAGCACTTATTGGGTTTCAGTCCGTCGGTACACATTAATTGTTTGGTTACGTGGTCAGTCCATTCCTTGTGTAAACCGCAGTCGGTTTCATCAAATTTGAAAGGTCCAACATACGAGCGTATTCGCCATCTGTTTTAGAGGTAACTAAACAAAACGTACACAAATTTTTATCTCGTACAAACGTTTCCACTGAAAATTAACGGAATAGTTTTAACACTTTACCCGTATGTCTCAGCTAGTCTAGGTGTTTCCTAATGATGAAAATATATACAGTACTAAATAAGCCTCATTCGATTTCAAAAAATATTAAAGGCCTACATACGAGCGTATTTGCCATCCTTATAAGAGGCTACTCAGGCCACGATATAATATAATGTACACAGTTTTTTATCACGTAAAAGGTTTCCACTGAAAACTAACAGAATCGTTTTAACACTTTTACACTTTGCCTCAGCTAGTCTTGGTGTTTCCTAATGAAGAAAATATAGAAAACTAAATAAGCCTCATTCAATTTCACCACCTATTAAAGGCTTACATACGAGCGTATTTGCCATCCTTATAAGAGGCTACTCATGCCACGATAAAATATAATGTACACAGTTTTTTATCACGTAAAAGGTTTCCACTGAAAACTAACAGAATCGTTTTAACACTTTTACACTTTGCCTCAGCTAGTCTTGGTGTTTCCTAATGAAGAAAATATAGAAAACTAAATAAGCCTCATTCAATTTCACCGAATATTAAAGGCTTACATACGAGCGTATTCCCCATCCGTTTTAGAGGCTACTCAGAAAATTAACGGAATAGTTTCAACACCATTAACCGTTTAGGTGTTTCCTAAAGATGAAAGTAAATATAAAACTCAATAAGTACATACATGTATGTCTGATTACCCACAGGCGTTGTAAATGTCTATGTCACTTCATAATGCTACACTTGGAAAAAGCAGTTACATCAGAAATGTACTGAGATATGAGAAAACAGCTCATTATTCACACAGGCTTCAGTGCTTAAAAAAATAAAGGGACTTGAATATTTCATTGGAGCGATATTCTGTTTCAGAAATAATTGGCGCCAGAGCCTCAACACGTAGACAGTCCTGTTAATGATAAAATGCGTACAATACCGTGGCTTTATTAAGATGTCAAAAGAACCCAATAACGTGTTTCACATAAATTATAAGCAGAGTAGTTTCATGATGCTGCCTGTAAACACATTTATAATGAAAAGGATATGTGGTTAAAGCGAAGACTCGAGTTCGATCGCTCACATATGTAAACTTAAGCCAAACCTGGTATTCTCCTTCGTGATATTGATTGCTTCAGTATTGCTCACCCCCTAACGAAAAATAAATGAATACAACGCATACAAACACATCATAAACTGAGAGTGAAGTTTTGGCCTCAAATGCAGACCGGCGTCTTATGAGTGGGGTTACAATAGAATTTCTGAGGACCTTGATAGGATTCGAACAGCGCACCTTGGTATCCGAGATGCCTTGTCCACATGCCCAAAGAGGTTAATCCCCATTAGCAAACTGACAGGATGTTATCTGTGGGTGACTCAACGCTTTAGGTGCAACACAATGTTCTGGTGACAGCAACACGCTCTCAAGTCATAAGAGTGAGTGAGTGAGTTTAGTTTTACGCCGCACTCAGCAATATTCCAGCTATATGGCGGCGGTCTGTAAATAATCGAGTCTGGACCAGACAATCCAGTGATCAACAGCATGATCAAATCATAAGAAGTCATAGAAAGAGTTGTTTGACTCATTAAATTGTTGTTTTATAATTTGTTTATTTATTCTAAGCATTTACACGGGTTTGCATGACAGCGTGTATAAGAGAATAGAGCATGGCAATTTGACCAAACCATATTGAAGTAGTCTGTATTACAATTAATGACATATACTTTGGTAGGTAGGTATACTTTGCTAAATTACAATTTCAGTGAGCTCCTTCTGTATAAACTGGAATGTTGGTGGGTATATATTCTTCCTAAATTTGAAAATCATTCGTTTTGGCAGGACAATTACAAGGGTTAAGGGATTGAAATGGTATTCCACATTTAAATGCACGATCATTTTGAAAAAGAACATTTGTCATAACCCACTCAAATATCGCTTTATCATTTCCTCTCTGTGGTCAAAGTGGTAATGGGTTGCAAGTCGATAGGTAATTGTCATTTGATGTATCCTAGTAGCGGGTGTTATTCTAAAAGCAATTAATAAGCAGATAAAATCACTGGGATGCCGTAACATATCCGATAATGAGATTTTCAAACTGGCTTGCAGATGAAGTCCATGACGTCACAGGTGATGTATAACATCTACCAAACCACAGTCTAGAAAACCACTTGTTCATGCCAAAGGAAATAGAAAGGTAATACCACAGAAGATGTAAAATAGAATTGCAAATGCTTTGTTATATAAACGATGTAAAGCCATGTTTACAGCTCTTGTCGTTTGACATTTGAAACGATTTACTTCATAGCCTACAACAGCTGGTAAGGTGACACTACTTGGGATATCAGATCAATGATGGATTTTAACTTGAAGGTTTATTTACAACTATCGACCAGTTTCTTATCCCTTAAACAACCACTATTTTGGACATGATGATGTCAACACTTGTTTATAGTTCAAGGTGTCACTCTTGTCTCGGTTACAAATGGAGGTTCTGTACTTCACAAGCTTTGACACTCCAGGTACATAATGCGTACCGCGCATTAACCATCATCTACCAGGAGGACCCAGCTGAAACCTCCACACAATGGCTTGTTTTACGGATCTTCCATTGTCTTCAGTTTGATTTGTATTTGATTTGTCAGCGCCATATCCGCACTCTTGGGTAAACGTCGAACCTGAGGTTTTGACATCCAAAAGCCTCCTGACCAAACCTACCCCGAAACTCTGGCACTGAGTTTATCCTCAGCAATATTTCAAGAGTTAAGTTTAACCGCCTTCCCGGCAGCTCTCTGATCATCCTAATTCTAACACCAGGATTCACCGTCAACATTTCACCTTGCACATGTGACATTCTGAACACTAACCACTGTCATATTACTGACTACTCATGACCAGGTTCTCTGTCTACCAATTTCAAATTTTAAATCATTTTATTCTCAAAAAGAACCACCCACGGTGGTACAAGAGAAAGGTTTTCTTTACATAACGATAATTAGTACTTTACAAGAAGTCGGTTATAGCGGTACAAATGATTGGCGACATTAAGACATTTTGGTTGAAAACAATTATGAACCACAACCAAACGACTCTGCCAACCATACATATGTACAAAGAAAACACGCACCACCACACTGATCTTTCTGCAGTAGACAACAACACGTTATAATAATTAAGAAATTTAAACAAGATCAGTTAACTCGATATCTGATATTACATAACGAAAAATACATCGACACAAATACAAAGTTGGTGCTCGTATTACGTTTCGAGTATCATAGCTGTCATTCAGCTGGTAAATGAAAATATGTCGTTCTGGGTACCTGTACTGGACTGGATCCCTCACTCCCACACTGACACACACGCGCACACGCTAACACGTGCTTATTCGCGTAGGACAAAATTTCTAAACGCTTGATGCACTTTTGTCAGGGGCGTAGCTACCATTATAGACGAAGTAAATGTGTGTATTGAGAAATTTTTCATACTTTATGGATAACAGGTTCTGTATTATATCATGATCGGTATAGATTCTTGACAAGTATCGTACTTTCCTTATTATATATCAACTCAAAATTAAGTATCGTACTTTCCTTATTATATATCAACTCAAAATATGTCCAGAGAGAGAGAGAGAGAGAGAGAGAGAGAGAGAGAGAGAGAGAGAGATTGTTAGATCACGACAAATCAACACATACGTGTGGTACATCTAATAGCATAAGCCACACTCTGCTAAACATCGCTAAAATTCTGTATCAGATTAAATTCATCAACATTAAGTAGGATTTTAAATTGCCCATTTTTTAATCACTATTAAAATGGGATGTGATGATATTTGTACAAGTGCATTACTGTGATGAATCTAAAGCGAACATAATGGCCCCTTGTGTGATGTTAGATTTATTTAACTAGAAACATATTAGCGCCGTGCGTGGAAACACATCACAATGATAGCATGCTACAGCCACGCCCTGTTCAATCCACCGAGACTACTTTGTTCGTTTCATTTTTCATTACGTTGTTTACATAGTTTACCATATGATGTAGAATCGAAACACAATAATAACAAATTGCGAAACAGTTTTTAAGCGGTCACAAAATAATGAAATGAATATTATTGAATACCTTATTTAAGCTTAAAGCAAAATATTCCGACAACAGAAACACCCAAGTGAACCCGAAAACAACGGTTGCATCCATCTGTTCTTTCTTTTATAACATTTATGTGGGCGATCTCAGACACAATGTCTGCGACACAAATTTAATTCATTTAATTCAGTGGAGTATAATACTGAGACCGAGACTGAGACCGAGACTGAGACTTAGA